CTACAATATGGTGAGCAATCTCGGCCGGATCTGGTGCCGCTTGGACAACATTTCTTGTTCTTCTTGCGGCGTTAGACCTGACTACAACACGGCAGTTGATTTGTGGAGGCAAAACGGAATCTTCGCTGCTGGAGGAGGATGACCTTCCATCGTCTTCTATATCGAGATCTGGCATTTCATCTTTTTCTAAGATGTTGTCAGTGGTGTTGTCTCTTTGTAACAGGACAGTGATTGACCTCGTATCCGTGTGCCGAGGTGTAGGCGACCTCTCACATCCGCTTGATGATGTATCCTCTTCATTTCCATCTCCACCTCCATTGTCCTCATCCACTGACACATCGCCATGAGTAGGAACCCTACTCCGTTTCCCCATTTGAAAGAAGTTGGAAAGGCTTGATGAAATGGTGGAAGGATAGTGACTTTGCACTGACAAAGATGCTACATCACTAAATGATGTCCCTGGCCTGCTTTCCTCTCCCTCGAAGAAATTTATGTCCATTTCACTTTCTGTGGCAACGGTCCCTGAATCTGAATTTCCGTCCATGTAAAAGGGAGGGTACATATGTGGACTTAACACTTCGTCCTCCTCTGAATAGGTATCCGATATTGCCAGTTGACATTTCTCTACAATTTCTCTTGTGACTGGCGCATTGTGACACTCCAAATCTTTCTTTGAGTCCGTAAAACTAGAACTTTGGCTAATCACTTCCGAAATCTTCCCGTCGTCATCACGGGAACGCTGATCCCTGACCTTCGTGAACTTACAACCCATCGTAATATGATGATTATTTAGCAGCTAGCAGTTGTATGCATTTAGCATGGCTCGTAGCTAGGCTAGAGTTGGGCGATCCCGAAATGCAATCATAACAATGATTATGACGTCATAATGTTTCAATGACTATTACGTCACGAATTATTTATTCCCTGGTGTTGCAGACATCAATAATTTCTATCATACTGGCACTGCCATTATCGGAATACACCTGCCATATATGTTTTTGCTGTATCCGGCAATGGAAAAAAACAGCCGTATTTAAGCACGTGCATTAATTCGATAGAGTTACTTTCAGAATTAATTTAAATATCGCGTTCGAAAATATAAATAAATGATGAAATAATCAATCTTGTATGATATAATGAAGAAGTTTACTTACGGAAACTCTTAAAATAGCTGTTATATCAATCCGAGACTCGCCACCTTTGTCTTTGATTATGAGACACTGGTCATGTATTCTCTATATGTAACTTGCTATATTACTAATGTTATTTATTTATTTACTGACGACACTGAAGAAGTTTTACATACAAAGATTCGCCGAATCTCGGAATTAATGGACTCATTTCTTCAACAGACGTTATTTTGGTAATTCGTAAAACCAACCGCATACACCCTAGAATTTTTTTATCAAGAACGGCTATGTTATTATATTCGGTTTTATGGATTTAAACAAAGCGGTGTCCTGAATTTCTCGGTTTTTCAGGAGGAGAGTGTCCGGATTATCTCGGTTTTACATACAAGATTTATTTTTTTATACGCCCAAAAAGGCAAATAAATCTGCATTTTGAGTAAAAATCCGAGGGATTATCTGTTTCGGACGTGCGAGTACACATAGACGTTTGTGAATGATTTAGATTAGTGCAGCTGCAAAAGCGAAACGTAATTTTTTTTTTTTCAGAATAGTTGAAAGGTGAGACGACGTCGTGAAAACGTTTCGTGATGTTATGGAAGGGAAGTAACGCTAATGGAAAGTTATACAACATGTATCAATCTGTATTCCAGCTTAAGATCATGGTGACACTAGACTACCGATACACGATATGCACACCAATGAATACTCCAGGGACTAATTGCTGGGAACAGCGGTTATCTCTCTGGACTTAAATCCGTGGACTATTGTCATCCCTAAACTTAATTTCGTAGGCTATCGTCATCTCTGGTCTTAATGCCATGAGCTATTGTTATCTCTGGTCTTAATGTCGTGAGATATTGTTATCTCTGGTCTTAATGCCGTGAGATATTGCCATCCCTGAACTTAATTCCGTGAGCTATCGTCATCTCTGACTTAATTCCGTGAGCTATCGTCATGTCTGGTCTTAATGCCGTGAGCAATTGTCATCCCTGAACTAAATTCCGTGAGCTATCGTCATCTCTGGACTTCAGTCGGCTGTGGTCATCTCACTGAACGGATTTCGATGGTGCATGGTCACCACTGTGGTGGACTGTTTTCCGTGGTATATGGTCACCACTGTGGACTGATTTCCGTGGTATATGGTCACCACTGTAGTCTGTTTTCCGTGGTGCATGGTCACCACTGTGGACTGATTTCCGTTGTGTAATGTCACAACTATGGACTGATTCCCCAGGTATATGATCCCAACTATGGACTGATTATTGTACTATGTATTGTGGCCACTTTTGTTGAGTGATATGTGGGGATAATGTTCATCTGGCTTGACCTAATTCCCTGGACTAACGTCATCTCGATTTCCGTGATATATGACCACCCCTCTAGACTGATCCCGGGGTCACCTGTCACCTCTCTAGACTGATTCCGGGATCACCTGTCACCTCTCTAGACTGATTCCGGGGTCACCTGTCACCTCTCTTTACTGATTTCTTGGGTCACTTGTCGCCTCTCGTGACTGATTTCCGTGAAAAATTGTCACCGCACTCGACTGATTTCCAGGGTAAATTATGACCTCTCTTGACTGATTATTGGGGTCAATTGTCACCAATGTGAACTGATTTCCGAGGTCACCTGTCATCTCTCTGGAGTGATTTTCGGGGTCAATATTCACCTATGTGAACTGATTTGCAGGGTTGATAATTACGGTAACCATGTGTTTACAGCAGGTTACCATTTTACAACTGTCGGTAATTACGGTTACCATGTGTTTACAGTAGGGTACCGTTTTACAGCTGTCGGTAATTACGGTAGCCATGTGTTTACAGTAGGGTACCGTTTTACAACTGTCGGTAATTACGGTTACCATGTATTAACTGTAGGTTACCTTCACCGTAAAATGATATAACTAATCCTTTGACAACATACAACATTTTCCACTAAAAACTTCCGTGTCGACCGTTGCAAAGAATAACTTGAAATGCTAATATTCTGATTGAAAATAGTTTATTTTCATCACGTGTAACATTTTAAATCATACAATATAAATATATGTATAACAGGCGAAGTGATTGCTTCTCTGACTAAACAATAAAAGGTACAGGTATTATGTCGCTTGGCACTAGTTCAATTATGCACAACGTATGGTATTGACATATATATATATACACTTATATAAAATATGTTTAATGTGAAATATACGATCCAATTACGGTATTCATCATTCCGTTTCTTAGAAATTACGAATGACTTGGTTTCGCCGCCGTTTGAGGCGAAAAAATGATAACATCAATTACACCGTCATTTTGCAGCCGCACTGCGGCGACAGAACGAGGTTTTTCGTTGCTTCACTATGACGAAATGTTATTCTGAATTTTGCCGTTCCAGGGGTCACAATAATAATATATCATCGATATTTCTACCCTATATTGTTATTTCACCCTCTCATTTACAAGTGCTGAATAGTAATGACAGAACGATGATCATTATTTCACTACGCGTGTTGCGAGAACGATAGATAAGATAACCTGATCGAACTACCTCTATATCGGTTTGCTGAGTAGTGACTTTATAGTTCATTATTTGGTTCTGTCGATGAGAAATATTACAGCGATATGATCAGTTCTCTAAACACTGACTTCATGCTTTTGCTATCTTCATCCAGTCTCTGTAGAAAGCCATTGTTATGCGGAGCGACATAGCCTATATCAGCTACCTTATAACTGCATATAGAGGACCGTTGATATGTAGCGTATGATCCTTAAACCAAGACCAAATGTCCACAACAAACGGTACTTCCACAGGAATGGAACTCGCCACGAAGAGTTTCATCAACACCTGGTTTGTTTGGCGACGTATTCGATATACACCATGAATGTTCATTCACTTTTACTGTGAACGTTGTTTTAACATCCATGTGCCGTTCTACCATGGTGACGTGACTTCCTTTCTACAAGATGGCTTTGATCCCTGAATGAAAGAAGGAAGGGTTTCATTAAAAACTGCAGGTACGTAAAACAAATATCTGTATTATACTTCCGTGTTAAAAGCATAAAAGTACATCAAGTGAAATTATCAAAGTAATATGATGAAATGACATTGCTGCAACAATGTAACACAGGTAGCATTATTACTCTAGTATTTAACTGTACCTATGAGGACAATAAGATAAAATTGTCTGTATGTATCGTAAACCTTAGGGATAAACCTACTATATCTGTGTTTCTACCATGGAAAATGATCACGTGGTATCCTTAACACAAACTTTACTTTCTCTCTTCATCCACCCGAGATTTAACACTAAATATACCTTCTTTCTATACCTGTCGGGGGTTTGAAAATAATTAATTGTATTGACATCTGATATTTTATACTAATTACCTTCTCTCTACATCCGTCCGAGATTTTACTCTAAATATACCTTCTCTATAAGTACCCGTCCGAGATGTTCCACTAATTACCTTCTCTCTACATCCGTCCGAGATTTTGCTCTAAATATACCTTCTCTACGGATACCCGTCCGAGATGTTCCACTTATTACCTTCTCTCTACATCCGTCCGAGATTTTACTCTAAATATACCTTCTCTACGGATACCCGTCCGAGATGTTCCACTAATTACCTTCTCTCTACATCCGTCCGAGATTTTACTTTAAATATACCTTCTCTTTAGATATCCGTCCGAGATGTTCCACTAATTACTTTCTCTCTACACCCGTCCGATACTTTATACTAATTACCTTCTCTCTATACCCGTACGTGATTTCACATCAAATGGCTTCTCTCTGTACCTGTCCTTGATTTTGCACACCTTTTTATACCTGTGCGATATTTTACATTTATTATCTTCTGCCTATAAACGTTCGGAATCCCTCCTCTATTGGCTGACCATCCATTGAGTGAGACAGTCGTTTGTTGCGGTCAAACCTCGCACAGTCAGTTGGGGGCGACTCACACTTTCGGCAAAATGTTTGCTATACCTCCTCTCACTTTCCACCATAGTCCTGGAGTTTGATCTAGGATTCTGGAACTGGAGGCTAAATGACGGCAAACGGGGCCCACGTGCACCCTAAAAGATAATATTGCCATATTTAAACAACAGTGAATGAAAACCCTATATATACATATAGATATTAGGTTTGTTCATTAAAGCGTCTTTCATAACTCTTTGAATTATAGAAATGTGTGAAAGTTCCATAAGATAGCGAGACGATGTTAATTTGTAAATAAATCTTACCCTTGGTCGAAGCTGTCTGTTTCTGTAATCTCTTGTCGCTACAGCATGTGACCCAATAAGTTGCTCAACTTCTGCTTCGAATTCTACAATATGGTGAGCAATCTCGGCCGGATCTGGTGCCGCTTGGACAACATTTCTTGTTCCTCTTGCGGCGTTAGACCTGACTACAACACGGCAGTTGATTTGTGGAGGCAAAACGGAATCTTCGCTGCTGGAGGAGGATGGCCTTCCATCGTCTTCTATATCGAGATCTGGCATTTCATCTTTTTCTAAGATGTTGTCAGTGGTTTGGTGTCCATGACCTCCTCTCCGATATGCAGCCATTTTGGATCGGTTAGGCAGTGTGGTGTTGTCTCTTTGTAACAGGACACTGTTTGACCTCGTATCCGTGTGCCTAGGTGTAGGCGACCTCTCACATCCGCTTGATGTATCCTCTTCATTTCCATCTCCACCTCCATTGTCCTCATCCACTGACACATCGCCATGAGTAGGAACCCTACTCCGTTTCCCCATTTGAAAGAAGTTGGAAAGCCTTGATGAAATGGTGGAAGGATAGTGACTTTGCACTGACAAGGATGATACATCACTAAATGATGTCCCCGGCCTGCTTTCCTCTCCCTCGAAGAAATTTATGTCCATTTCACTTTCTGTGGCAACGGTCCCTGAATCTGAATTTCCGTCCATGTAAAAGGGAGGGTACATATGTGGACTTAACACTTCGTCCTCCTCTGAATTGATCTCCGATATTGCCAGTTGACATTTCTCTACAATTTCTCTTGTGACTGGCGCATTGTGGCACTCCAAATCTTTCTTTGGGTCCGTAAAACTAGAACTTTGGCTAATCACTTCCGAAATCTTCCCGTCGTCATCACGGGAACGCCCATCCCTGACCTTCGTGAACTTACAACCCATCGTAATATGATGATTATTTAGCAGCTAGCAGTTGTATGCATTTGGCATGGCTCGTAGCTAGGCTAGATTTACGCGATCCCGAAATGCAATCATAACAATGACTATGACGTCATAATGTTTCATTGACTTTATACGTCACAAACGATAACTCCATTGATATTGTTAACGTTACATTTTTCTGAAATCTTTTGGGTTTTTTTTATTATTTTTTTTTAATCCCTTTTTATTTCTCATTGATTTCTAAAATCCCCACATTCGTTTACAATAGCCTAGATACATGTCATCAGGCTTCTAACAAGGTACTTACCCGCTAAAAATCTTAACTAACATCCATTAGACATACCCATAAACTTTGCCGATATTTATTATGTGTTCAAATTGTACATTCTGCATGTCAATCAATTTGCTCTAAACTTAATGATTTTGTATTCAGCTCTTATCATGAACACGCGCCTGGTCAAACGCTTGCCCGATTTTGTTTCTATATCGACAAGCCCCGAATCTATGTATAAATGTTTAAATAAGGCTTCAAGGTCAACGGCCTCTTAGGTATATATGTAAAAGTTCTCTAGAACCAAGATTGATTTAATTTGGAGAAAATTGAAGAAATGGTTAAACTTCTGGTCACTGTCGCCTGGCGGAGTGAGGTTACAGATTTTGGGTGCCGAAAATTCGAGAAGGTTACCAGAAAAGAAAAAACGAAGTGCTGACACGAAATCAAACTCATCTGTAGCTGAACGCAGGCGACTTCAACCGAATCGAGAGGTGAACATTGATTCAGGGTGCGACCTAGGTGATATCTTTTTCAAAATACAAAGACCTGCAAAATATCATTGTCGGTGGCCTTTCACAGTGTAGTCGTTGGATTTCTTGGTACAGTTGTGGGATCGCACATCTGTACACGATGTACACAGATGTCTGTACACGATGTACACAGATGTCTGCACGATGTATGAACGAACCAAAAACCGGACGTAGTAAACTTTTGCACATCAGTGCGCACGCTGTACAGTTCTATTGCACAGATGTGTACAGATTCTGTCCTGGTTCATATAAATTTAGAAATTACTTATTGACAAGTGTTGGATAGGGTTTATTCACTTTCTGATTAAGTCATAAATCTGAAGATTGAACCCTTGTATATCTATCAGATACAGACTGATTAGTTGTAAACATTAGTAATTTAAAGTATTTTGTGCAACACGTGACCAGCCTTAGTGTACAATCACTCATTATTTATACATTGTTTATTCTAAAAAATAAATGGACGTCTCTTTTTGTCTCTTCGGTGAATCATCTCAAATTTCATACCAATAGAAATGAATTTTATTTTCATTACTTCTGTATTACTCTCATTTTTCTATCATTTTGTAGACAACAAAAAATATGTATTCGAGTATACCTAAAATGTTATGTTTGTTACACGGGATGACTAGCTGGTACGTATCCGGATACAGGTAAATTTTGTTTCCGCGAGACATACCACTCGCCACTCTCTGAAACTGTACGATTGAAAGACTATTTTAATGCATGGTCCAGTTATTAAATTGACTCTCATAATCACCGACCAATTTTAATACGCCTGTGATCACTATTTAGTCATACTACACTATTTTTTCCGTTTAATTTTCAATCCGTAATATTAACCTACCATTTTTACGAAACCACACATGATGTGAGATCCTATCGCACAGTTGCGTACCAGATCTTGTACAGTGAGTGTGTACGGACGATGTGTGCACGACTACCAGATCTTGTACAGTGGGTGTGTGCGGACGATGTGTGCACGACTACCAGATCCTGTACAGTGTGTGTGTGCGGACGATGTGTGCACGACTACCAGATCTTGTACAGTGAGTGTGCGGACGATGTGTGCACGACTACCAGATCTTGTACAGTGAGTGTGTGCGGACGATGTGTGCACGACTACCAGATCCTGTACAGTGAGTGTGTGCGGACGATGTGTGCACGACTACCAGATCTTGTACACTGAGTGTGTACGGACGATGTGTACACGACGTTTTTTAATGCGTTGTACGTTATCACACCCTCGACACCCACAGTTTCGAATATGTGGACCGGATTAAGGTTTCCACCTGGTCTTATTTAACCAGAAAGTGTTACCCTTTGTTACAGAATTGCGTATTTTATTAAATATTTTCACACATGATTTTAATGCAGATTATCCAGAGAAATTAATATGAATTGTTGATATGTTCAAGAATCCGCTAGAGAAAAGTCAAGTCGTGATGTCGAATTAAAATTAGGGACTAAAATCTACAATAGACGTCCTTGGTCCGAATCAAACACAGATACACCAGTCTAGTGAAATAGCTATTGTGACGGCACACCGTCGACGTTTCTTTGTCCATAATAATGACGCCATAAAGGCCACGCGCTTGATGGCATATATTGGATCTCAAATCGTACATCTTTCCGGTTAGTAAAAAAAGTGGCAGTGCATAGCTAATTTTGACTCGTATCCGAAATTCTTTTTAAGTTTAACATTCGTTCGTTGTATAAATACAAGTTAATCGAAGTTATTACTTACCTGTCACAAAAAATAGATATAAATGTACTAATATTGAATTGATTTTCAAAGTCGATTTCGAAAGGATTAATCATGAAAAGAAAGATATTTTTTTAAGAAAGACATTTCAAAATTTTGTGGGAAAATATGTTGTAAACTTGATAACGTCCACGGCAGGAATTACTGTCTTGGCTGTGGAAATACGCCGTGTTTTATTATTGAGTTTGAAACGGGAATTGACATTGCATTATCGAGAAAAGCGAAAGAAACACTATCAAAACAGATGTACAAATGGTCAGTTAAATCTCTTTACGCTGATCACAGTTTTAACACAATAAGGAATGGATTGTATAGATGATACTTCCTCCAATTCTTCAAGCGACAATGTAGAACGTTTAGTTGAGGACGACCAAAGTACAGTTAGTTTTTAAATAGTTCATGACAGGAATTGTGGGGATATAAATTAGGGCGCGCGTGTATGGTCCACCTCTCTTTCATTCATTGTCCGTACAATATTCCAATCTGTATGAACCAGGAATATTTTGCATCACACAAGATCTGAACATACATTCTGTCCTTATTGAAATTCATCACAGTGGGGCTACTTGTACAAGACAGCTATTGTAAAAAGGCCTCTGCTTGAATGGGCTGCTCCATACCATAGTTAAAGTCCCTTCAGTCATTCTCAATAGATGTTCCAGTTGACAATATTATTTGACAACAGATTTTAACCCTCTCAGGGCCTGTAGACCTGACAAACTAACACAACAAACAACGACTCCATGTTCTGGTCAGCTGAAACAACAACAAACAACATCTCCATGGTCTGGTCAGCTGACAACAACTCCATGGTCTGGTCGGCTGACAACAACTCCATGGTCTGGTCAGCTGAGACAACAACTCCATGGTCTGGTCAGCTGACAACAACTCCATGGTCTGGTCAGCTGAGACAACAACTCCATGGTCTGGTCAGAAAAGCAACAACAAACAACAACTCCATGGTCTGGTCAGCTGAAACAACAACAAACAACAACTCCATGGTCTGGTCAGCAAAAACAACAACAAACAACAACTCCATGGTCTGGTCAGCAAAAACAACAGCAAACAACAACTCCATGGTCTGGTCAGCTGAAACAACAACAATCAACAGCTCCATGGTCTGGTCAGCTGAAACAACAACAAACAACAACTCCATGGTCTGGTCAGCTGAAACAACAACTCCATGGTCTGGTCAGCAAAAACAACAGCAAACAACAACTTCAAGGTCTGGTCAGCTGAAACAACAACAAACAACAACTCCATGGTCTGGTCATCTGAAACAACAGCTCCATGGTCTGGTCAACAAAAACAACAACAAACAACTCCATGGTCTGGTCAGCAAAATCAACAGCAAACAACAACTCCATGGTCTGGTCAGCAAAAACAACAGCAAACAACAACTCCATGGTCTGGTCAGCTGAAACAACAGCTCCATGGTCTGGTCAGCAAAAACAACAACAAACAACAACTCCATGGTCTGGTCAGCTGAAACAACAAACAACAACTCCATCTGAAACAACAGCTCCATGGTCTGGTCAGCAAAAACAACAACAAACAACAACTCCATGGTCTGGTCAGATTTTAACCCTCTCAGGGTCTGTAGACCTGACAAACTAACACAACAAACGACTCCATGTTCTGGTCAGCTGAAACAACAACAAACAACAGCTCCATGGTCTGGTCAGCTCAAACAACAACAAACAACAACTCCATGGCAAAAACAACAGCAAACAACAACTTCATGGTCTGGTCAGCAAAAACAACAGCAAACAACAACTCCATGGTCTGGTCAGCTGACACAACAACTCCATGGTCTGGTCATCTGAAACAACAACTCCATGGTCTGGTCAGCAAAAACAACAACAAACAACAACTCCATGGTCTGGTCAGCAAACACAATACCAAACAACAACTCCATGATCTGGTCAGCTGATACAACAACAAACAACAACTCCACGGTCTGGTCGGCTGACATAACAACTCCATGGTCTGGTCAACAAAAACAACAACAAACAACTCCATGGTCTGGTCAGCAAAAACAACAACAAACAACTCCATGGTCTGGTCTGCTGATAAAAAATTCCATTTTCTTGTCAACAAAACAACAACAAAAAAGAAGTCAATTCATTATATATCATTATGAATGACATTTTATTGCAAATTATCTGTTATCTTAAATGAATACAAAAGAAAGTTTTCACTCTTCCTTATCGCCATAAACATTATTCATTACAAAGTATTGGTAAAGTTATTATCGTGACACAATGAGTTACTTGTACAAGATGCCACATACTAAAGTTGTATGACAAGTTTGTGATCTGTGCTAGAATCCCATATTGTGTGACCTTTAGCATGACCTTCAAGGTCATCGAGTCAACAACTTGCCAAGTAATATAATTTTCTTATATAAATATTGTATATCTTATTCATGGCATAAACATGTATGTCAAACTGACTAAATATTAACAGTCATGATGATTATCACCAAAGTCAAATATTCAGAGTTTACTTAAAAAAATCATTTCAAACATTATATGAATAGGTCAAAGGTTAAAGCCATTGATTTACAAAAGTCGGGCATAAAGAGTGTTAACAGTAGGTATTGCATAGTATAGACAGAGTGATGCTGTTGTAGGCGTGGAGTGTACCATCTAGGAAGACGATTCTAAAACACAGAAATAAATTGTTTATAAAACACCCATCCTTTGGAAGTTTTAATGTAATACTACAAGTTAAGAACCATAAAAAAATTTAATGTATTATCAACAGTTAAGAACTTACAAAAGTTGTAAAGAGAATGACAAAAGTTATTTTCTTGTTTCATATGCCTGCTTAGCTGCATTTGTTGACAAGCTTACCAGGATGGTATGTTCCTTCCCAGAAAAAGATTTACATTTCTAGATCAAGGATTCAGTCATCCAATACACTGAACAAGCTTTAGCTACAATGTATTATGGATATGAAAGACTTTGTTTACCTGATGCCAAATGGAGCAGGAAATTGACAACTTCCTGTTTACCAGATGCCATGGTGCAATAAATTATCAACTTCCTGTTTACCAGATGCCATATGTTGCAGGAATTGGCAACTTCCTGTTAACCAGATGCCAAATGGTGCAGGAAATAGTTCACTTCCTGTTTACCAGATGCCATATGGTGCAGATAATTGTCAACTTCCCATTTACCAGATGCAATATGGTGCAGGAAATTGTTAACTTCCTGTTTAACAGATGCCATATGGTGCAAGAAATTGTCAACATCCTGTTTACCAGATGCCATATGGTGCAAGAAATTGTCAACATCCTGTTTACCAGATGTCATATGGTGCAAGAAATTATCAACTTTCTGTTTACCAAACCATATGGTAGAGTAAATTATAAACTTTCTGTTTTCTTCACTGTTTGTTTTGCAGATAAACCTGTTCATCTGCACAAATTTAAATATAACATTATTTCATTTTATTTAAAAAGATTTTGTCAAAGCTTGTCAGAAAACAAAACCAGGTCATAAGGTCTGCTTTGTAACTAAACATCAGATCATACCATTTGATCCCTGTTCAACAGAAATGGCCACATGGCTTCCTGTGTCATCCTGTGACTTACTGTGTACTAGCAAGATGTCAGAGTACAGAGAGAACAGCTTCTTTGAAACTTATATTGATGATTCTGGAGTCTTGACTTGTCAATTTAGCTCTTCAACTGATGATTTTAACTACTTGAAAAACACCATAAGAAAGTCTCCTACAGTGGGTTAAGAAATAACTCTTCACTACATGATAATATTAAGACATTCTTTAACATCCGAACTACGATGGTACATACGGAGCTGGATTAGTATGGTGTCCACTTCAAAAATTCTTTGACCATAATAAAAGATCACACAATGGCACAATTTTGGAAATTTGGAAGACACCAGTTCCCAAATCATCAAATAGCTGGACATGAGAAACAAATATTACGATCATGGCAGCTGTATATATACATGTTTGAGAAATTTGGGTGGCTTTAAAAAATATATATAATCCAATATCATTGATAACATATAAAATGATAAAATCTAGCTGTTTTTTTCTTTTTTTTTTTTCAAATTCAATCATGTTACAGATGAAACATCTCTGTACATACACAACACCATCATATGTTTCTCTGCCTATATAAAGCTGCACATCTTGAGTTCAGGAAATAGCTTTGTAGTCGACATTCTTGCTTGTACTGAAGATAAGCCAAGGCTCAGTGTTAAGCCTATCCTTATCATACAGATTTCACAGCGTGTCATTTCTTGGAACACATTTTTTTTTAATAAGACTTGATTCAGAATTCCAAAATTGAACAATCCATGTACCAAATTTTCTGGATTTTTCATGGGTAACAAAAAGCACTGGTACAAAAATCAAATATCCCATAATTAAAAACATTTTGTAAAATTTATTTGTTATTATTTAGTATGAAGTATCAGCATGATTGAAAAGTGAAAAAAAATTGTCAACAATTTGTAACTATTTACCTTACGTAGGAATGGTTGTTAAGACTGCTACATGGAATATCAACCATATACCAGGTAGATTATAAAATCTTCAGTATTGTACATGTACATCTCATCAAACAGTAGTAATCGCACACACCATTATAATGTTGTCTTAAAAAATCTATTGTTCTAACTCCACTATACTTTTACCACTATGAACTAAGGTGGAAACCGAGAAAAAAAAATCTTCAATGGTGATTAAGTCAGCCCTAATCGAAAGAGTTTTTTTTTAATCTGTTGAAATAATTGTGAAGAATAGCATTTGAAACTTATGATTACAGTTTAATACTACATGAAATTCTAAAGCAGCAGCAGCATTTCATTCTCTTTGTCAGCGACAATTCTAATCAATATTTTATCATAAACACGACAAATCAATAAAAATCAAAGCAATCCATCCCAGAATCTTGATATTTTAGCTCACAAGATAATTTTTTTGAAATATACTGCAGGCAAATGTGTCTATATAGGTAACAGAAAGGAAATTTCAAGGCACTTCATCAATGCTATCAATGTAATGCCATTTATGTGTAATGCTTTTTATATGTTAATTTAATACTTTATCAAATGGTTGAGAACAACACGTAAGAATTTTTGGAATCTAAATATGTATCTCTTTTTAGACTTAATTCTTCAACAATTCTAAAATCTATGGTAACTATGACTCCTTAATTTGTGATCCTCTGTGTAATTTACTACTAATTACCAGTCATATGTAACTGCATATTTAGATCACCACAACAATGTTAAGGACAAGTTAAGGATGTATGCTACCTTGTCATCATATACATTATGTAACTCCTTTCCAAAAGAGTTCCGTAGTCATAAAGCTGTAACAAAGTGTATAATTGAAATGTCATTATATAGTCATTAAATTGATGACAAATACAACATTTCACAAGAATGCATATTTTGATAAAATCAACGCAAACAGTTACCAAGGGAGATAACTTATAACAAGAGTTAACAGTAAGATGTGGAAAGTAGCAGCAAGGAATCCTAAACTTGTAACAAAATAATCAGTGTAAGGAATAAACTTCAGCATGTAGGAATGCATTAGATCAATGTAATTTTTTTATCTCAATCATTGTTCAAAGAAGCAAAGATCACAAATAAGGCAAAAAATTAAGTTTCCCCTTTAAAAAGGTCTTGGTCGGGTCACAAACGAAGGGACACAACTCTTATGATACCAAGACCTATATTATTGAAACACACTACACATCCATACACGTAAAAAAAGTCTCTCACACTAGAGTATTAGCACAGATCAATTTCAACTATGTACAAGAATCAAATTATGACATTTTGAGAAAAGCATACACAAATTAGTGTAAACAAAAATATTCTTAAGAAAGACAAGTAAATTGATGATATCAACATACATGTTTATACCGGTATAGACATATATACATACATGTACATTTCATCTATTACACATTTTTATATATATAAAAAAAAACATCAAACAAATGGAAAATTCTGCTTACAAGCTTCTAACTATGTATATAATCTAGATATTGCGTAAATAATGAAAAATCAGTCACATGAATATCCCATAAAGCAGTGATTTGAATATACATGTAGAAAAGAGAGTTAAACCGCACTGCAGCATTTGAACACAATTCTTTGCTAACTGTGTATTTGGCACCTGTACTCTTTCATCAGAAATAATGACACTGAATGGTAAAGTAGAGAAAACTTTGAAGATTATCTATTAAAAATTGGTGTAATAAGCCATTATAAGGGCATACAGTCACATGGTCTGAGTGCCAGAAGTGTGACAAGCCGTAAAATGAGAGGTACGTATCAAGTGAATTGGCCTAGTATAGAATTCTCACATCCGGACAAGTTCTAAAGAATGTACCTAAGGATATAAAGTTGACTTTACCTCGTCTTCCATGACAGAGAATGGATAAACGGTAATTTATAAAGAACATCCTACAATAAATCCTTCCTTCCATCCATCAACAAGATTTGATTTTAAGATACAGAAAATTTGAAATATTGGCCAATTTTCCATTTAGGGGCCAACCTAAGCCCTTAGGGTAATGAACAGTACACCAAAATTTTACAACAGTATACCAACCTCCACTAAGAAAAATACACAAAGATTGAAAAGTCTTGAACCAGCTTTCTAGTGGAAGTAAAAGTTTACTGTCAACAAATAATGCACTAGATTTAGTGAAAGTGACTGGTTAGGTTACATTTTTGTTTCACTTTTTTCATATATATATATATATTAATATTGATAAGTCTGCAAAAAACATACATATTCAAAATTGAAATAAATGATGGATGTGAATATAATTATCTGACTTTCCAATACATGTACATAAACAAAATTCAAAGCACCTTCCCAAAAATTTTTATCTTATTATTACACTGATAAATATCATTCAACAATATTCTTGCTTTAGCATCAAGTTTACAAACTTTAATCAGGTATAGACTAAAACAAAATGAATTTCACAAAATAAATCATGATGAGACAATTCAATCAACAAAGGCTTATCAAATAACAAGAATCCCAGCAAGGATGTTCGAGATTTGCTCCAGTTTACTGCTATAGGTTTGACTTAAGGAGTCACCCTACCTTATAGTTAAAGAGTTCTACAGTATATCTTAGTTGATTTGTCATTTACAGTAGTTACTTGCATACTAGAAAGGTACACAAGGCAGGTAGAAGCAATAATTTATATGTTAAAGTTTAAGCGGATAGAAAATTGCGATAGACAATTCAAACTCAAATTAATGATCTGCTAGGAGAGGTAGTGTTTACTCTACCACGACAAACCTAATCAGTAAATATCTCAATCATCAGTAAATATTCACTCACTCATCAGTAAATATTCACCCAAGTGTTTATCTTACCATAGCAAACCTAATCGGCAAATATTCACCCCAAATGTTTACCCTACAACACCATAACTAAGTAAATATTCATTCAGGTTCTACTCACATATCTAATTTTTTTTTAAAAATCCTTTTTTTTTAGAGTGGCAGAACATTTACATTTATTGATCTTTAATCTGCCCACTTTTGGTTTATTCCCACAGCTGTGAATTAGTTTTTATTTCTACAACAATCTACCATACATTATGTCCTGTATAAATATCTAAATATAATTAAATACTCAATATAGTACTAGTGCTACTCCAGTGAAGGATAATATTCTCCCATTATAAATCATGTGTATTTTAAATAATTCTGATCACCATTAGATTTTAAATATTGATCACCAATAAATGTTAAATATTGATAAAATCATGAATTACTATTACATACAAAAAAAAATCAATCCTATATATTTATATCAAATTACAAAATACATGTATTGACTATGTAAAGTATTCAATAATATCCCCATTAAAAATTCTCCATACAGTAACACCAAATTTTCTAACTTTACAGTTCAAGACAATTTTGAAATTTTGTACCAATATGTCACAAAAAACTTTAATACAAAAAGTAAATGTTGACAAGCCTGTCTCACAAATAACTTTATAACTGGTTTAATGAAAAAGTCAGCTTTAGTAACAGAACTGGGGTCGACAGTAATAACACTAAGGTGTAATCAATGTATAATTAATCTGGATGGAAAAGTTAAAAAAAAAACAAAACAAAAAAATCAAAACCATGAATAACATGTTGACCAAGGCATGAATTAGCAAGGCAAGGCATGGATATAGGAAATGTTTTCTAACCACCATTTACCATATCCAGAATGACTGATAAAGTGCTGTCATACAGACTCGCTAAGTAAAGAGAACTGTTTTTGTACTTCTTCCTAGGTTGTGACATGTAACCATACAATTCTTCCTACAACTGATGTAAGGGAAATCCTACTTCAGTTATTTCGAGGTAAAAGGAATCTTTTGCTTAGTCTCAAAATTTTTCTACTTTCTCTAATTAATAATATAATGTTCTCCTACCCTGAGGGTGTGACAGAGGTGCTGTATACAGTATAAGCTGTAACACATACCAGGTATAGAGACACATTGTACTTACGATATTAGAATACTCAAGTCTAGTGTAAAACAATCAGCTTTATACAGTTAATGTGCTGTTAATAACATGATGTAACAAATCTGTCTGTTAACATTTGTGTTACTCAGCATTAGATAGAACTAAAATTCAAACACACAGCTTGTATCAGATAAGTTTCCTATTCAGAATATACCAGTATCATTTTACAATTTTTCTTGCCCTATTTGCGATAAAATAATTTTAAATTACATCCCTCAAATTTAGCCATCCTTCCTACCAATCAATCAAAGTTAAAGTTAAGAATTAAAGCATACATACATATTAGATGGCTAGCTTATCTTAATCCAGAGCATGGTAAATAGAACATTAGACATGATATACTGTAAATTACTTAAGATTCCCTGAATACTTTTTTTCGCAAAAGCTGATATTTTAATATGCGAATGATCAGCTATCAGAGATATGAAACTGTGAGACTCCAATGTCGGCTACGAAGTCAAAATTGATGCTATCCTGAGTTGTTTTTATACGAATTGTAGCAAGAGATTTTAATCTGCAATGGTTTCTTTGCATATTGATGTGAAAACAATTCGCACATGAAATTTACAGTTTAAGTCTCACTAGTACATCGAAACAAATCTTTGGCTTCAGCTGTCTCTGGAGTGAAGAAAATTATTAAATTAGAATTACCACAATCAAGATCGTCTCTTATCAAAACCTTCATTTGATGTCTAAACTTCACATTTCAGTAATATGACTTCAAAAGCATCTTTTTTAAAAGTAATATTAACTGGTACCTACACAAATTTAACTATAATCTGATATATCTGTCTAGCAAAGCACTGAAAATCAAATAACAAGATTAACCACATCAAAAATTTCATCAACAAACCATATCGGTAATATTTTATAATAAATCATAACAGTAATACAATGAAGTCGTTACAACAGACAAGAGAATATCTCATTAAGTCGGGCAAGAGTTACCCAACTTCATTTGAAATATATAATGAAAAATTCTCATTTATTTCAGATTTTGCATCTATAAGTTGTAAAATCTTGCAAAAGAAGAAAAATGAAAGAAAGATAGAAAGAAAGAAAGAAAAATAAAGAAAAAAGGAAGAAGAAAATAGAAAGAAAAAGGAAGGAAAAAGAAAGAAAGAAAAAAGGATTTTCATTACTTTTGGTAAAATATTTGTACATGTTGAAAAACCATGACAGACTACATCTGAAATTAAAAAAAAACCTCATTATTTCTAATCTTAATACTAAATATTTCAATAACGTGACATTTTGTTTTGAACAAAAGGTAGCACTACTTGTACTAAGAGGAAAGGCACTTGATCACTATAGATATTTATACTGTTACAGTTCTAACACAGGTTTCTACTTTGATATTTGCAATCATGAACATAAAATGAAAATTGACCTATTGAAAACTGACCTAACAGCTAATAATATCCACACACCTTCTACCAGAACAGCACATCTATAGTGATTTGGTCAGGAAAGTATAAAGCAGAGTTACTAAATTAACGATGGATATCACACAAAAAGACACCATTTTTATGCAACTTTTTAAAAAGTTTAGACAAAAATTAATAAACCAATTATTTTCTTCATGCATTTTAAAATTCAATTTGATAATCACCAAAAAAGTATTGAGCCTGAAATTTGTGACATCTGAAGACATATACCAAACAAACTAAACATTTATCAGCTTTTAGTTCTGAGAAATGAATTAATCTTTTTTAATTGTTATATGATCTTAAGAATTTCTCTAAACACCATTGAAAATGAAAGCTAAATGACGTCTTTGTCAATTCATATGTTTCCAACCAACTTGTGTCCCATTCAGAGGAAGAGAATTCCTCAATAAATTTCCTAATTGCGTCTATTTTGAATGCAATTCATTCTTTCCTGCCAGTTCATAAATCCAAGCACATATTCTAGATATCATTGAGAATTTTTACAAAAAATACATACATATGTATCATATGTACAACAGCTGGTGGTACTCATAAAAGATTTACCAGCAAACACTGACTAGGTATTTAGGGGCTCCGTAGGATTTAGTATTTTTGCTCTTTGTTTGTTTTTGGGGTTGGGAGGGGGTTGTGTGAAACTTATCTAGATTTGTAAGGGAGCTATGCCACAGTATGTCTGGAAGACATGGTGAAACCAGCAGTATTATGATACACAACATTAACATTATTTCTCACATTCAACTTTTATCAATATTTACACCCCTGCCTTGTCAAGTGTCTTCACAAGCTATGCTTTCTCACCAATCAAAGATAAAACACTTAACATAAACTGTGCGTTTCATTCCAATCAAATTTTCCACTTTTGGTCATTATTTGTAACAAGGGGAAAACAGTTCTGGCTAAGTGTGGAAATAAAATTTCAAAGTCAATGAATTTTAAAGAATCTTGCTCCTGTTAAACCATGATTACATCATCAGCACTTCCAGTATTTTCTTCTGTATCAGGGGGAGTTGTCTCCCCCTTGTTGCCATTGCTATCTTCCTTGTCTGCATCTTTGCTATTGTCTCTATCTTTGTCCCCATTCACAGATAATTTCTCAGTTGAATCTGCCTTTTTGTCAGAGGACACTGAAACGGGAGATAACTCTTCTGAGGTTGTGGACACGTTCATGGGATCATGAACTGATCGATGTTTCCATTCCAAAGAGTTTTCTTTTTCTGAGAAAAAAAAGCAAAAAACATATGAATGAATTGATTGGATTATATAACAAAGGGCAATAACTCTGTAATTATGAGGTTTAAGGCACTGGATTGTGGTACACTGCTTGTACTACCTTTCGGTGTCTCAGTATGATCAATGCATACACAAAGTTTCCTTATCCCAGTTTACTTGAAAGCCAAGTAAAGCTATGGATATAAAATTTTAAGAAAGGGCACTAACTCTGTAATTATTCAGTTTGAATTTGGTACACAGCATATCTTCTTATTATGACTAATGTATACATCAAGATTCATTACCCTAGCTTAAATGACCTCAGAGTTATGTTCTGGACTGAAAATTAAATCAAAGGACAATAACTCTGTAATTAAGGGGTCAAGGGTCAAGAATTTGATCCATGGCACATTGCTTTTGTATACTTAATGTATATATCATATTTCATTATCATATTTAAACGCAGGCCAAATTATTAACAAAATTTAAACAAAAGGGCAATAACTCTGTAATAAAGGATTTGTGGTCCCTGAATTTGGTAACTACATATTATCTTAGTATGACCAATGTATACACTAAAGTTCATGATTGTTGCTTTTACTTTGGGCAAAGTCATGCTTCAGACACGAAAAAATGAATGGAAAGATGGACAGACAGACAAGGCAGCAACTATCTGCTCCCCCCAAAAATATTTGGGGAGCAGAAAAAATCATAAAAAACTATTGATACAGTGAAAAGTGATTTCATTTTTTCTTTTTCAAAATCTCTTGTACTGGTATAGTTGAAAATAAGTCAGTGATGTGTTACACCATTCAAAATTTTAAACCATAAATACCTTTACTTATATTAGGTAAGGACTGATCTCTGGGTAGGGAGCTGCTCTTTTTCTTTAACTCTGGTGGTGGAGCGCTCATGTCCAGCCCCATTTTCTTTATTTTGTCTTCCACAGACAGCCGTAAGGTCTTTGAGTCCACTACTACACCTTCCTCCGTCTTCTTACCATCTGCTGACTTCTCACCATCAAAGGACTCTGCTCAAATAGTTTACATAACAAAAGTAAATACATGGACAAAAAGGGAGTTATATGTTACTGTTACATATCACATCCTTGATACAATAGGGGTTACGCTCACTATCACTCTCTGCACCCCTAGAACATGTCATGACAAAATTGAAGGCACTGTGTGACACCTTATGGATAAAATGAATAGTCTAGTTTGATTCTTTGAAAGAAATAAAAAAAAATCTCAAGGTCGCATAACACTATGGTGTACCTGCGTGGAAGTTTGGTGTCACTCCTCTGTAATCTTTAAAGAAGGGTATTTGTCTGTGTTTGGTCAATTTTTTTTCTCCTGTAACCCTGCTCTAGACCAATCAAATAACTTTGCTTGTGTCTTTAGTTTTACTATGAAACATTCCTGGGAAGCAGAGAGCGAAAATAAGCGAAACCCCAAGACTATCGAGGATGGCTATTTCATAGCTGTCACAAAATTCTTTTAAAAAAATGTGATATACGAGTACATTTGTACATGTATCAAACTTTCAGGTATTAAATATCTCACACATTGCTTTAAAACCAAATCAGCAGGTTGATTTCACTCTTACCATCACTGGTAGAGCTCTGATTGGAACTGGTGCGTGGTGAGCTGCCCGGTTTGTTTGGAGGTTTTGGTGGGCGTGGCTTCAACAGCGGAGGTGGAGGTTTCTTCACGTCTGAAATAATATAAAACCGATAGAATAGTCAGTGATGCTGAAAGCTCTATTAAACAGTTTTGTAGAAATGTCGTAGATCTCATTGATTTCTTTTCAAACTAGCATTGCTGTTGCTGGTCTCTGTCTTCGTGCAAACAACACATTTAGAAAAACAGTCATGAAAAATAAACCTACGGCACAGTACAGTACGGCAATCTCTTATTCACTGGATAATTTCTACATTAATTCAACTTTGTCTTCTGAGACCTCCATATTAAGGGCTTCATCCTGACAGCTGATAAATAGGACATGTAGGGGGGAAAGTGTTTTTTCAAGAAAAGGTGATATTAACCAGAAAGTGACAATAAGCAAATTAGCACAATGCATCCACAATAATTACTGATATGTAAAGAGTGTATACATACCAGCAAAATTTGAAATGGTGTTTTAAAAGAAGACAACTTTTGGTACAGGTCTTGAAGATCAAGTCTGATCAAAGAAATTGAGAAAGTAAGAAATATAACACATGGAAAATTTCAGACAAGAAGAAGGTGATCCTCTGATTCCAGCAAAATAACCCAATCCTTTCTTCCTGACTTTTGTTGTTGGGGATTTAATTGACAAATGTTGGGGGGTATCACAGGGATATTTCCACACGCGAGGTCACAAAATGTTGTTTAACAAGAGGCTTTGCCGAGGGTTCTACCACATTTTGTGAATCCCGAGGGTGAAATATCACATCCTTCACATATCCTATAATACCTACCTCCAGACTTTCTGTCTCCTGTTCCGGCATTCCCTACCACTTCCTCTACATCTGAGCGACGATTACGTGGTGCAGGTTTGGGTTTTGATGCTATTGATGGAGGCCTTGAAGATCCATTGGGTTGAGGTGAAGGGGAACTAGCTGTAGATCCTGCCCCTGGCGACGTGGCTGTTGGAGAATCATCTTCATCCAAAATATTCTAAATTAGGAAAGGAAAATATTACAAAATAAATTCAAACTTACTGTGACTACAACTTCTCCTGAATGTTCTTTCTTGCTTCCTTCATTCATAAAAGCAAACTTAATGCTATCCTCAGTAAAATTAACGACATACCCCAGAGAATCGTTTGGTCTGCAGCATCTGTTGCATCATGCTCTCCCCGAATCCCATAGGTTTGCCTCTTCCTAAGCCATACTTGGGTTTCAAGGCTTGTTTAGGCTGCCTTGGCTCCTCTGGTTCAGGGTCTGGCTTTGGTTCAGCCTTGGGTTCAGTCTGAAGTTCAGGAGAAGGTTCATGTTTGACCTGTGGTTCAGGTGTTGGTTCCCTTGCCACCTCCTTCACTGTCTCAGCAGGCTTTTTCTCAGCTTCTGCAACAGCCCAGACAAGTAACAGTCAACTAGGTGGGTTTTTTTTATATGGTCCGTAAGTTTATCAACATATTCATCTTAAGTGGCCTATGAAAACATCAACAAAAGTATTGAGTAATTTGAACAATCAAAGTTTGATTCATAGAAGTCAATAAATAGTCGATAATATAAACACACTTGGTAGCCCTTCATATCACCATGTTACAGGCCAAATATAATCAATATTGGTCTTTTGGTTACTTGGAAGAAGTCAATTAACGAGTTTGACATATTTGGTACCTGTGACTTTGAAAGTAGGTCAAGGTCAATAATATGAGAAGATGTGATAGCACAGCATCCCAGGATACCACTGGCTCAATATAAGCATTCTGTGCTATTTGTTTATTCAGAAGAAGTCATTTCAACACATTTAACCCCTGTGACTTTGAAAGTGGGTCAAGGTCATTCATTAACAAGAGATCCCAGAGGGATCTTGGCGCCCACCATTTGAGGATCTGTTTTCAGTTCTTGAAGATTTTTTTTTGTTTGTTACAGGTGTTGTAAATGTTCCTGAACTGGTCTTCATTGAATGTACTCAATGATGGCACAAGATATTTTTATTAAGCACCTATTAGCAAATATCATTTGAAAAAGATCCCAAAGTATTATTAGATAGCAGTCAGTTACAGGTGGATAATGGACAATATGCTTGTGCTGTATTACTGTCGACATCCAAGATGGCTGCCTGTGGGCCACCTTGATTTTAAATCAGTCCAAAAAAGGTACAATGCACAACTAGGGACCAAGGGAAATCAATATCTATGAAATATCAGAAGGATCCATCCTGGACTTCCTCAGATATAGCAGTAACAAACTTTTACATTCAAAATCCAAGATGGCCACCTGTCGGCCATCTTGAATTCGAATCAGTCCAAAAAAGGTACAATGCACAGCTAGGGACCAAGGGGAAACTGCATATGAAATTTGAGAAAGATCCATCCAGTACTTTTCCAGAAATAGCGGTAACAAACTTTTACTTCCAAAATCCAAGATGGCCACCTGCCATCTTGAATGCGAATCAGTTAAAAAAAAAGGTACAATGCACAACTAGGGACCAAGGGGAACCTGCATATGAAATTTGAGAAAGATCCATCCAGTACTTTTCCAGAAATAGCGGTAACAAGAATTGTTTACGGACGGACGGACCACGGACCACGGACGCAGGGCGATTTGAATAACCCACCATCTATTTGAATAGATGGTGGGCTAAAAAAACAATATCAGTACTCTGGGCCATTTGGCTAAAAAGAAAAATTAGAAATTAGAAATTGTTTGTGACGCAAAACACAAAGCACCAGAAAAAAAAGGTGATCGCAAGAAGTCATATTTTACCTGTTGCTTCCTCTGTTCTCTAGACATACATCTCGCCTGTTGCTTTCTCTGTTCACTAGACATACATCTCACCTTTTGGTTTCTCTGTTCACTAGACATACATCTCACCTGTTGCTTTCTCTGTTCTCTAGACATACATCTCACCTGTTGCTTTCTCTGTTCACTAGTCAAACATCTCACCTGTTGCTTTCTCTGTTCACTAGACATACATCTCATCTGTTGCTTTCTCTGTTCACTAGACATACATCTCACCTGTTGCTTTCTTTGTTCACTAGACATACATCTCACCTGTAGCTTTCTCTGTTCACTAGACATACATCTCATCTGTTGCTTTCTCTGTTCACTAGACATACATCTCATCTGTTGCTTTCTCTGTTCACTAGACATACATCTCACCTGTTTGTTTCTCTGTTCACTAGACATACATCTCACCTGTAGCTTTCTCTGTTCTCTAGACATACATCTCACCTGTTGCTTTCTCTGTTCACTAGACATACATCTCACCTGTTGGTTTCTCTGTTCACTAGACATACATCTCACCTGTTGCTTTCTCTGTTCTCTAGGCATACATCTCATCTGTTGCTTTCTCTGTTCACTAGACATACATCTCACCTGTTGCTTTCTCTGTTCACTAGACATACATCTCACCTGTTGCTTTCTCTGTTCACTAGACATACATCTCACCTGTTGCTTTCTCTGTTCACTAGACATACATCTCACCTGTTGCTTTCTCTGTTCACTAGACATACATCTCACCTGTTGCTTTCTCTGTTCACTAGACATACATCTCACCTGTTGCTTTCTCTGTTCACTAGACATACATCTCATCTGTTGCTTTCTCTGTTCACTAGACATACATCTCACCTGTTTGTTTCTCTGTTCACTAGACATACATCTCACCTGTTGCTTTCTCTGTTCACTAGACATACATCTCACCTGTTGCTTTCTCTGTTCACTAGACATACATCTTCTGTTGCTTTCCTTCTCTAGACATACATCTCACCTGTTGCTTTCTCTGTTCACTAGACATACATACATCTTTCTCTTTTTATCCTTTTTTCTCTGCACTAGACATACATCTCATCTGTTGCTTTCTCTGTTCACTAGACATACATCTCACTTTGGCTTTCTCTGTTCAAACATACATCTCACCTGTTGCTTTCTCTGTTCTCTAGGCATACATCTCATCTGTTGCTTTCTCTGTTCACTAGACATACATCTCACCTGTTGGTTACTCTGTTCACTAGACATTTCTCTGTTCACTAGACATACATCTCATCTGTTACTTTCTCTGTTCACTAGACATTCTCATCTGTTGCTTTCTCTGTTCACTAGAAAATCTCACCTGTTTGTTTTCTGTTCACTAGACATACATCTCATCTGTTGCTTTCTCTGTTCACACTGTTCACTAGACATACATCTCATCTGTTGCTTTCTCTGTTCACTAGACATACATCTCACCTGTTGCTTTCTCTGTTCTCTAGACATACATCTCACCTGTTGCTTTCTCTGTTCACTAGACATACATCTCACCTGTAGCTTTCTCTGTTCTCTAGACATACATCTCACCTGTTGCTTTCTCTGTTCACTAGACATACATCTCATCTGTTGCTTTCTCTGTTCACTAGACATACATCTCACCTGTTGCTTTCTCTGTTCACTAGACATACATCTCACCTGTTGCTTTCTCTGTTCTCTAGGCATACATCTCATCTGTTGCTTTCTCTGTTCACTAGACATACATCTCACCTGTTGCTTTCTCTGTTCACTAGACATACATCTCACCTGTTGGTTACTCTGTTCACTAGACATACATCTCACCTGTTGGTTTCTCTGTTCACTAGACATACATCTCATCTGTTACTTTCTCTGTTCACTAGACATACATCTCATCTGTTGCTTTCTCTGTTCACTAGACATACATCTCACCTGTTGCTTTCTCTGTTCACTAGACATACATCTCATCTGTTGCTTTCTCTGTTCACTAGACATACATCTCACCTGTTGCTTTCTCTGTTCACTAGACATACATCTCACCTGTTGCCTTCTCTGCTTTACTCTCCTCCTTTCCATTCCTTTCTGGAGATTTGTCTCCCTTTTTATCCTTTTTATTCTTGAAAGGGGACAATCTCACTTTGGAGTTCCTGTCAAACAGTCCTCCACCCTTGCTAGATGAACCTGATCGTTCTGGTGAGGATCCTTTTTTCTTACCCCGATCTGGAGATTTATCTGCTTTAGCAGATTCATCAGTAGATGTTTTCTTTTTTTTGAAAAAACCTGCAAATCTGTTTGAAAACAATGCATAAATGAGATTAAAACCTGTGTTTTCAAAGCCTTTTAGAAACTCATTGATGGTTAATTGGTGAACAGAATCTGATATTATGTTAAATATACAAAAAAAAACTATTTTAGAGAAATAGAATTAACTTAATTAAAAACAAAATCTCTCAATTATAGGCTGTATTTTGGAGAGGGTGTAGAAAGATAAAACTGGCAAGCCTCTGCCCGAACCTACCCTATTATCAACAGACCTCTGGGAGGATATTTACCCTATTATCAACAGATCTCTGGGAGAATATTTACCCTAATTTCAACAGACCTCTGGGAGGATATTTACCCTATTATCAACAGACCTCTGGGAGGATATTTACCCTATTATCAACAGATCTCTGGGAGAATATTTACCCTAATTTCAACAGACCTCTGGGAGGATATTTACCCTAATATCAACAGGCCTTTGGGAAGATATTTACCCTATTATCAACAGATCTCTGGGAGGATATTTACCCTATTATCCACAGACATCTGGGAGGATATTTACCCTATTATCAACAGATCTCTGGGAGAATATTTACCCTAATTTCAACAGACCTCTGGGAGGATATTTACCCTATTATCAAAAGACCTCTGGGAGGATATTTACCCTATTATCAACAGATCTCTGGGAGAATATTTACCCTAATATCAACAGGCCTTTGGGAAGATATTTACCCTATTATCAACAGATCTCTGGGAGGATATTTACCCTATTATCCACAGACATCTGGGAGGATATTAACCCTATTATCAACAGATATCTGGGAGAATATTTACCCTAATTTCAACAGATCTCTGGGAGAATATTTACCCTAATATCAACAGGCCTTTGGGAGAATATTTACCCTATTATCAACAGATATCTGGGAGGATATTTACCCTATTATCCACAGACATCTGGGAGGATATTTACCCTATTATCAACAGATCTCTGGGAGAATATTTACACTAATTTCAACAGACCTCTGGGTGGATATTTACCCTATTATCAACAGACCTCTGGGAGGATATTTACCCTATTATCAACAGATCTCTGGGAGAATATTTACCCTAATATCAACAGGCCTTTGGGAAGATATTTACCCTATTATCAACAGATCTCTGGGAGGATATTTACCCTATTATCCACAGACATCTGGGAGGATATTAACCCTATTATCAACAGATCTCTGGGAGAATATTTACCCTAATTTCAACAGACCTCTGGGAGGATATTTACCCTAATATCAACAGACATCTGGGAGGATTTTTACCCTATTATCAACAGACCTCTGGGAGGATATTTACCCTATTATCAACAGACCTCCGGGAGCATATTTACCCTATTATCAACAGACCTCTGAGATAATTACCCTTTTTTCTTTTCTGGCTCCTTTTCTTTCTCCTTCGGATTCTTATCTTTTTTGATTTTCGCATCTGATATGGACTTGCTGTGAACATAAATATACGCATATAATCATCAGACTTAAGAGCTCTTCAGAAACTGCTGTTTGTTGCTGTTTGACCACATCATCATTATCACTTGAGTTTATGCCCCATGTAGAGCCTAGGTCATTTTGTAGTAGCTGGTTGTTACCTCAATGAACAACAGACAGGAGGTCCATCAAACACCATACAGGAAAAGTACAGTACAGTGCTATGCACAAGGACACAACTACATTAAAACAGACTGACACAGCCATTTCTTGGTTTTCTGAGGACCCCAAACCATCATGGGTAATGAGCATCAATCTTCACACCTGAGACTTCATTAAGGTTAAGTAGGCGAACCGACAGAAATATCGAAGCCCCACATTATCAAATCTTCTTTCATGTGTCTGAATTCATTAAGAAACATATCTTTACATGGGTACTTAAGTAGATGATCCCAATTGAACAATGAGGAGAATAATATTTACGGAAGTGTTTCTTTTAATTCAGTTTGGACTATGTCAGTTCAATTCTAGCATCTCACTGATATGAATTACTCTTTCGTTTTGAGAATCTTTGTATCTTTAATACATAAATACATCTGATATGTGTGTGAAATTATGAACAATTTAACAATTATGGTAGACAATTTTCCTATATTGTGTTGAACAATGTTAAGAAAAATAGGCATAAATAAAATTATGCAGATTCCATTATATTGACATAAACAAGAACCTAAAGCAGCCAATTACTTCTACTGTGATATTAACAGGAATAATAGCTAGCTACCTCCCTTGTGATATAAACAGGAACCTAAAAGTTAGCTTTCTTCCTGTGATAAAAACAGGAACATAAAGCAGCCTATTTCCTCTACTGTGATATTAACAGGAATAACAGCTGGCTATCTCCCTTGTGATATAAACAGGAACCTAAAAGTTAGCTTTCTTCCTGTGATAAAAACAGAAACATAAAGCAGCCAATTTCTTCTACTGTGATATTAACAGGAATAACAGCTGGCTATCTCCCTTGTGATATAAACAGGAACCTAAAAGTTAAGATAAAAACAGGAACATAAAGCAGCCAATTTCCTCTACTGTGATATTAACAGGAATAACAGCTGGCTACCTCTCTTGTGATATAAACAGGAACCTAAAAGTTAGCTTTCTTCCTGTGATAAAAACAGAAACATAAAGCAGCCAATTTCTTCTACTGTGATGTTAACAGGAATAACAGCTGGCTATCTCCCTTGTGATATAAACAGGAACCTTAAAGTTAGCTTTCTTCCTGAGATAAAAACAGGAACATAAAGCAGCCAATTTCCTCTACTGTGATATTAACGGAATAACAGCTGGCTACCTCTCTTGTGATATAAACAGGTACCTAAAAGATATTAACAGGAACATAAAACAGCAGTCAACAAACCTGTAAAAAGACCTGTTACTGACCTTAACTGGGTGCTTGGGACCTCTGTAGCTTGAGCTGTAACAGTGTGCTCCCTTACTGTCTGTCTGTTGAAGAATGTGTCAAGACCTTCATCTGCTTGGAGTGGTTCATTTGTGGCTAACTTTGTCGAAGCGCCTGGTCGTCGTGACTGGTGGTTCTTTTGTCTCTTGGCGCGGCCCTTATTTGGATTAAACAGCTTCGGACCAGTCTCCCCAAGGTTATCCAGATCAATGGTGTCTGATAAATTAAACCAAAATTTTCTATTAAAACTTTCAAACGTTACTGATATCTTAGAATCACTGGTTACAATAACAAAATCCACTATGGTTTGGTGTTTGACATAAAGAACACATATTTCTACAGTAAGTCTTCGGATAGTTTGGTAAGTTTCAAAAAGTGCATTTCACCATGAATGAACACACATTGGCAAATAGCATCAGCAATAAGCATCAGGAAGATTTTGTACACCAGCGTTACTGTGTTTATAACTCTCTCAGACTGATATCTTCACTGTTATACTTAGTACTAATTACTGGCTAGTCTACTAACCATGGTATCTGTAGTCTTTGTCAGACAACAAACTACATACGATGAGAAACAGAATATCAAATCAGTCTGAATTAATATTTATTTAGATCTACTGTAAGATAACATTCTTTCATATGCGATTTACTTGAGAAAATATTGTGATTGCAGCAAAATTGTTAAAAAAAAAGAAAAATTATAATTAAAGCTTGGATGATTACAGATCTTAACATTTAAACTCTGATGATAATGATAATTTGAGGTGGCTGCCTCCATGGTTAAAATCCTAAAATCGACAATGCACTTCAAATTTTACTCGATCTATTACTGGATCGGGAAACATCATATCCAAGTAATATAAATTTGTGAAATGAAACTCTGTCCTGAAAATTCCTGATAGTGGAGCAACCAAGTTAAACATGGGTATAAACACACTGAGTAGGGCCTTTCATAAATATACCCTAACCTCTCACCTCTTTATTGTGATCTAAATCTGATGAGGGGCTAAGGTCAAAAGTCTTTCCAAAAACATGGTGTGGGAATGTTAGTTCCAGTAGATGGAAGTGTCAACACAAAGAATTACGTCAACATATTGGAGGAAAATCTATGTACTGTAGTTGTTGAAAAAAACAAGCCAATAGGACTTGTTCTGAGGGCAAACCTTACTAGGCCATACATAAGGTCACTATATGACTCATTACCAAAGCCAATATGAATTGTTCTGAGGGCAAACCTTACTAGATCATACATAAGGTCACTATATGACTCATTACCAAAGCCAATATGACTTGTTCTGAGGGCAAACCTTACTAGGCCATACATAAGGTCACTTTACCTCATTGTTCTGAGGATAAATGGGCCTGTTTGAAAATATTTAAATTCTCAGGTAAGTGGCATGTTTTGTTTTATAAATATCAAAGAGAAACATACTCCCAGACTAAAAAGTTTGCAGCTCACGGCCGCCATTTTGGGGAAAGACTTTTGACTTTGGCTGTATAAGGGGTTCACCAGATATTCTGTACACAAAGTTCTCACTTTAAAAAAAGTCAGGGTGACCTTGGACCTTTAACCTTCAACCTTCACTGTTGACCACCAAAACCTGACCTGGTGTAGAACGTGACAGGAGTGATGCTATGGTGGGAATGAACTAAATCTGTCCTTGGGTTCATGAGATCTTCTACACAAGAATATCACAGATGCATAGACATATGGACGGACAGATGGACAGACAGACTGACAAACAAATTTATTACTATTTACCCCTTTTATTTCAGTGAAGGGTATAATAACGATTATTGATAGTTACCTGATGTGACAGAAGATGTCATGGAGCTGGACGGCTCTTCAGCAATGGCTTCAGTCTTGCTTAGCTGAATGTTATTGGCAAGGTCTTCTGTAGATCCCACTACGTAAAACAGTCACAGATACAGAATAAAATCTGCTCTTCAGATTCCATTAAAACAGACACCTGCAGTTTTCCTCGATTACATAGTGGGCAACATTTTCATGAGTGACTATTTTTGAAGAGATGATGTAAATTCAATATATGTCTATTTATAATTTATGCAACTATAGTTACATCAAGTTCAATGGGCAAATTAAAAAATGCATTAAGTTCAATGGGCAAATTAATAAATACATTAAGTTCAATGGGCAAATCACATGATCAGTCGTCCATATACAAAGTAAAACATGGTGAAAGGACTAACTCAGAGCTAGTGTGACAGACTATCTTATCAGGATCTGAATATGAATATTACAGTGTCTATTTCTAATTAATTTTCTCACAATTGGCAAGGAAAATGAAAAAAAAGGAAGAAATTCTTCTGGCATCTGAAACAGATTGATAAGCAGCAAATAGATTAGTTTTTTTTATATACCTCCTTTCTCATAAACCTGCCTTGATCAAGTAATTACCATAATAATTTTTTTTGTAACTACAATGGCATGATATAAATCGAAGGACTTTTTAAGTGCTAAAATACTTCAGCTAATCTTGCATATCACAACACCTTTTTTACCTGTGATTAGAGGGTTGGCCAGAGGCTTGGTAACCCTCTGACTCTCATTCTGTTGCTTGGCAACCCCCTGACTTTGACTCTCAGACTTTCCTGAGACTGATAACAGCACAGACCTTCTCTTGATCCGAGGCTTGGGAACAGGATCTTGTGAAGTAGGGGTGGATTCTGGGGAGGGGCGAGTCAATGTGGGTGTGGTCTGAGGGGTTGTGACTGGCGTGACCTTTGGGGTTGTTTGTATAGGGTCAACAGGGTCACCTTTGGGAGGAGAATTTTCAGCAGTGCTTTCCAATTTTCGGTTGTGCATTTGTAAAGCTTTTTGTACCTGCTCAGCATCTGGTAAGGAAGCAAGCATGGTTAGAATCTCAACACTACAAAGCACGCAGTTATATAAAGGTTTCATCTGTAGTCCAAAAACTCATGTTTAGAAATTCGAAACAAAACAAAAAAAATTTTAAATTTACAATTTCTTCCGAAATTTCCAATGATGTATATCCGATAATGATTTCATGTCCAATTTTCCAACAAAAAAATTGAAAATTTGTAAAGTTTTTGGTTTTGCAGATCAATGAATATTGTGACTGATGATTTAGCCATACTAGTGGTAATCCTGTGTCAACATTGAGAAGTTCGTCTAAATTGTCTTTGATAAACCATTGGATAGCTATCATTTATAATACCATCCATTCAAATACTGTCTTAACTTTTGATTGGTCAGATTTAGTTCCATAGGGTTACCACTAGAGGGCAGTGTGATGCCTTATAAACACTGTGCTTCACAGCCGTAAGAAAAAAGCAGAAAGTAATGAAAACGAGCCACTAGAGGGCAGTGTAGTTTTCCGTTTTACCAATAGAGGGCAGTGTACCTAGGTAGTAATCCTTATTTAACCAAAAGAAGGCAGCAAAGAAATAATTTTAACCTTAAGAAGGTAGTGTTGAAATCCACTAAATGGACTGAAATCCATTCCGTTTATCAATCAGAGGTCAATGTATTGTATTGTATGTTCAAATGAATATAGAACATTCTTTAACCACTAGAGGGCAGCACAATCAAATCATATAGCTTCAAAGGGAGAAACAAGAATATTTTAACGAAGTAAACTTAAACATTACGATGAATTGTAGAAAAAATTGTCTTGGTTGATAAGGCAAAACACTAGTTCTATCTAATAAAGATATAGTGATATAACAATCTGTGGACACTCAACACTGTGACAGCAGAGTGACAGACCTTAGCAGAGAAGCAGTAGAAGTAGTGATAACAGAATTCTAAATAGACTTCAGATAAGTATAAACTTTTAGCTATAATTGTTTATAAATAGGGCCTTATTAGGTAATATCATCAGATAAGATAATAAATAAACTTGTTTACATCAATCAAACATTAGAAATGTTTTCAACATATGTCAACTCTTTTCAGTACTGATTCTCTGCTGGTATAAGGCTTCCATACAATATTTGTAAGATATATTATATAGATATATATTTTTTTTATATTTTGTATATCAGTGTATATAATATTGATTATATGTAGAGTGATACATTTTTATAAACAATATAAATTATAAATATAGTTATAATTTTGTGTATAAATAATATGTATTTCTAATATTTGTATATATAAAGAATATTTGTACATATGGTAGGATGGTAGCTTTTGGAGAAAGTCTGTATCACTGACAGCCAAGTTATAGATTAGTAACCAATCAGGGACAGAACTGATTTATTTATCAAAAAAGTACTGTATTTGTCTATGTTGTTTTCACTGAACTAAAATAAAAACATTTCAGATGAAATTTTACTTGTTATTATATTTTCATTATAACCACTCTTTTGAAATTTCAGTTAGGAATTCCATGTGAATATCTCTTGCAACTGAATTCGTGATTTATCTTGAAGTTATAGATTAGTAACCAATCAGGGACAGAACTGATTTATTTATCAAAAAAGTAGACTGAGTTGTTTTCACTGAATAAAAACATTTCAGATGAAATTTTACTATATTTTCAATTCATTTTTTTTTCTCGACAGCCTTAATTGGCGATAGTACAGAATAACTGCTAAGTATATCAGTACTCTGACAATCCCTAATTTATCTTCTACACATCTAAACAGACATGACTGCTCTCAGTTATAAGTTATTGATCTATACATCTTTGTTCGATTTCTCCTTCACTTGGTGCCACTCATTAATCCCAAGTTTCTAACTATTTCATATTCAATCCAGGATCCTATCGACTGTTAATAAACTATAGAATACATGAATCATGCAAATTACGCTTTCACCTAAAATTTAGATCTATATTCAATTTTGCATTCTCATCATCCTGGCATTTTGATTTTTTTTTTTTAATTTTCAGATATATGTTTTCAATTAGTATGTTTCTATTTCAAATTCTATTTTTTGATTTCAGAAAGACAACTAATATAAATATCTTTACACCAAAAATTAATTAAAAGAGTTTGATGTTCTAAGTTAAGATTCACAATATATATATTTGAAGAATATACCATACAGATATTACAGTAACTTCATACAGTTACAGACCTTTACCTCTTCCTGACATCTTTCTTCCTGTTGAAAATTTTCACATTTGACAAGAAATATTTGGTCATAAATTAATATATTTAAGTATTTTTTTAAGAAAAAATTATGTCATGATCAAAGTTTACAAATTTGATATGGACTTTTTTTATGATAGACTTCAATTATATAGTATCTCCAGGGGTTGTTTTTGTTTGTTTGTTTACTTTGTTGTCAGAGATAATTAAATCAATTTGGGGAGTTTTAAAAAAAAAATGAGTTTTAGTAAATGATAAATTGTAAAAACCCAGGCAGATTGAGATCTCAAATTATTTTACTGACGTTAAAAAAAAATAGTTTGCCCTTGGTATCTAGGTCTGCTATTGATATCACAGACTGGAATTAAAATTCAAATATCATAAATTAACAAAACTGATTTTTATCGAAATAATTTACTTCATATAGATAAAATGTTTACAAAGTTTGAGATCCCAAAGCCATCCAGTGATTCAGAGAAATTAACAATCACCAAAGTTAGTAATCAGTATGTAAAATTAGTTCTGGAGTAATGAATACTAGCTTTCTAACTAAGTCTAATACGAGATGCTTCCATTGCTAAACAGATTCCAAGACAAAGCATTGTAAGTAAATCTACGTAACCCTCGTCATACATATACACTTTCCGGGAGCAAACATTTCCAGAAACAAGGGGAGACTACTACCTTGGACTGTGTTTCTATGTGAAATTCAAACCATGTGATCTCAATCCTTATCTAAGTAGCTAGAGTTGCAGATATCATTGTGGAAGCTCACATAGTAACAGATATAAGTATGTCAGCATTCATGTTACTATGGTAACAGATTGTTTCCATAGTAACAGATTTTCATGTATTATATTTTCTACAGTAATATTACTTATGTAAGATGTTGCGGTCATGGTAACATATCATGGTCATAGTAACATATTGAGGTTATAGTAACTAACCTGTTTCGGTATTGGTGTTACTATAGTAACAGGTTGTTCCAATTATAATTTACTTATAACAAGTTTTCTTGTTAAAGTAACTATAGTTTAATATTGTTTCCATAGTAACAGATATACCTGTTACCTTTGTAAGTGTTAATGTTACCACAGAACCATATTTACTAGTAACCAGTGGCCGTGTTAATGTTACCATAGTAACACTAATCTATCTATACCTGTGTAAGTTTGGTATATTATCTAGCCCTACATTCAGCTTTCACTGTTATTTCACTGTTACTATAAATCTATAATGTTGTAATATCAACAGCGCCACCTATGACTATCGGAGGTCGGCATTTTTATAAACTTACCTTTGTTACCATGGTAACAGACAATTTCTTTGTCATCAAGGTCAGCCTTACCTCCTTTAAATGGTAACAGGTTCACCTTCAATGTTTTGAATCCTATTTCCTGTTACTTACCTATAACAGTTGGAGGTCTAATCATTCGTTTAATTTTGCTCTCTCTTCTGTCGATCATCGGTGAATCCTATAGTAAAAAAGAGATAATTGTTGAAGGCAAAAAAAAAAAAAATCTATCTAACACCCTTCAGATTTATAGTTAATGGATAAATATTATTATACAGGGTCATCAAAATAGCAGTAATCAGTGAAATACATTTCCATGGCAACAAAATATTAAATATGACAAATCGTGTATGAAATAACCATTTAAATTTTTCTTATTTTATGCATCAGATCACCGTGTTGTCATGTTACATGTAGCACCAGTGTTAGTTATGTATGTCTTATCAATGGTATTTCAAGCATTCACTCAAACACAATCAATTACGATTTACAATAATTTGATTTCTTGAATCAACAAATATATTTTCCACTTTTGTGAATATATTTGCAAGTTTTTCTAAGCAGCCTGGTTTCAAATTAAAAGGGCAATCTGTTACTTCTTTAGGACAAACCTTTTGTAACTACGTCCTAAACAGTTCACTCAAATGCTGTTTAAATACACATATAGGGATGCTTGGAGGAAATATTGGTATTTACATGCAACATTCATTTGAAGGGCAATATTGTTCTTTTAGTAAATTCCTAAAAACAAACTTAAATCTGACATAAATATCACAGCTTAGTAACTAACACTTTATGGTAGTAACTTTGTGTTATACATATATTTCGGATGATTAGCCTGTGCCTTAGAACTGGACGAATAAGACTTTATAAAGCAATGCCATGTGATCCTTAAGCAAGCTAATAAGCAGAAAAATTGAGCTGTAGATGCAGCATAGCAACTCATGTGAATCGTGGATTGTTTGTACGATTTTATCATTATCAATTAAAAACCAGAGGCAAGATTTGCATTTTATAATTATCAAACCAAACATTTAATTAGTGTTACACTAAGTGTCTATTGATGATATGCAAAATTTCTGTATTCAAATACAATTTTCAAACATTTCAAATTAAAATTTTCATTAATTAAGACAAATTTATCCCACAAGATGTTCGCTTATCCATGTCAAATTTACCATATCAGGGTTTATAAAAATAAACATAAAATACTAAATAATTTTTAACTTCAAAAGCACAAACGTCTTTCACATCGGTAAACTGGAATGTATGTCAAAATCTAAGATGCAATATAACTATATTAAGAACAAGACAATGAATTCTAGGTATTAGTGATGAATGCCTAATATGTAACTTGTATCCTTCAGGACAAATATCACTGTAAAATGTGGATAGACGAATAAGGCACAGTGACATTATAACTAAAGACTCTAAATTATGGTACTTACTATGTTTATCAAAACCAAAGCATCATAGTTATTTTTAGATAAAAAAAAACCTTTTTTAAGATAAAATGTCTTAATAATTTCATTGATTTTGTAAAATGTCTACTTTTCGAGAGAACTTCTGTTTGAAAAAAATCAAAGCTGCGGGAAAGTTAACATCAAGCTTCAATTAATCTGTTTACATTGATTAGCCAAGAACTTTACAGAAACAAGTACATGTACCTCAAGTTCCTAAGCATATAAAATCAGATATTGAATAGGAAAAAGTTTGCCATTTTGTAGTTCCATAATAAAGTATGGGAACAGTTTTTGTCAAAAAAAAATGAAAATAGAAAAATCTATTATATATACAAGTTACATACGATAGCTGTTGCTACCAACTGATGATGTCATTTCCTGTCTCATTCTGAAAGGGAATGTGAATCTGTTAAAAATTTAATACTTTTCTTTATAAAGCCCTTCCCCATTAGGCAAACAGATGCATTAATTGGTTTTACAAAAAGGAAATTAGTTAACATAATGATATATTAGACTGTTCAGAGAGTAAGAACAATATCCTGACACACTAATCATCATAATATGTCAATTACTCATAAATCAACAGGCATTAATATGATTTTTAAAAAAAGCATAAACTATGCATTTTCTACAATCTACATGGCTTTGGTCCTGCCTCTACCAATCTGTCAAGCAACAAGAAAAAGGCAACTCTGTGCAAAAAATGCCACTCTAAATCAGCATGTAACCATGATCTACAAGGGGAGGTAACTGTAACCTCAATCCAATACAAGGGGAGATAATACTTGTGAAGTGTATTTGGATGTAGCTGGTACAATGGGGTGTAGCTTCTGTTCAATACCATGCAATCACCTTTCAGAGGTAGCCTTTTTTTAAATAGTGGTCTATACACACTTGAAGTGGTGTGAGATTTCCTGGTCTCAACGACAAAATAATCGAGATGGGTTATTTCCCTTTCATAATCACAATAGCATGTCAACATTAGAAAGCAATGTTATACCATCAATCAATACGTGGTAAGACAATCATAGTAAGAGAAGAAAAACCATTCACTCTGTTGTTGGTGAGATAGGGGATCACAACACTTGGAGGAAGATTATAAATTGTAAATACCTAGTTTTTTCCAACTTAATAATCTCCTCCTAGCTCATCCCCAGTGGTGTGAAAAATTCTATTAATCTTCCCTTAAGAAAAATTGTAAAAAATCAATTTTTCCATCATTGCTAAGGGGATGCAATCACTATCTTGTGTAAAACTAATGTCTTGATTTATATCTAATATACATTTTTACATTTAATTCAAAAGAACAGAACACACCTTTTTTCTGAAGTCATGCTGGTATGATTGCAAATTGTATACAATATATGAAGCTCACTATAGTACATATCTATGTCTTAAGTCAAATAATACTGTATATTCTTTAAACAAGACTAAGAAAAAAAGTATCTATGATCAGAGTAAAATATATTTCACATCTGAAAACATCTATGAATATTTAAAGTGGAAAAATGTAAATATGAAATATACAGTGATACCAATATGTAATGTTTTATTATCTATATATATATATATGTATATGAGAGGTACTAAAGCTGTGTGAATCAGGTCTTGCCAGGTCAAAAGCAGAAAAAAAAAGATGTCTTCCAGTTGATGAAAAACACTTACGCAGTCTTGTGTAAAGAGTGAGTGCCATCGCGGTATCAGCTGATTATCAAGAAAACAAGCTGTCAATTTCACTACACATAAAAAAATGATCTAACATATTCCATCTTTAAAGACAGAATACATCTAACTCATGTTTTACTTCCAAACGCACATAACATCTAACTTATACTATCATTCTAAACAACCAACACAAAAATGTACATCTTAAATTCAGATTTAATATCAAGAAATCTGACTAGGAAGATATTTGTGCACATGGGAATAAAACTCTGAATACATGCAGTATACAATTACATCATTCTGTATAATTATAGAGTAGTGTAATGCCATGTTTAAATATTTGCAATTTGATGCAAGGTTAGAGGAGAGAAACAAGTACAGACAGGATACATCAATTTTCATATCTGTTAGTTCATCACACTTAAATATTTATCTGTCATATACTGCTGTGTTTCAGTCATTCGTTTTCACATCGTTATGTAGACATGATGTTTAGTGTCACTAAGAGTATTTCTTAATTGATATCATTATGTAGACATGATGTTTAGTGTCACTAAGAGTATTTCTTAATTGACATCATTATGTAGACATGATGTTTAGTGTCACTAAGAGTATTTCTTAATTGATATCGTTATGTAGACATGATGTTTAGTGTCACTAAGAGTATTTCTTAATTGATATCGTTATGTAGACATGATGTTTAGTGTCACTAAGAGTATTTCTTAACTGACATCATTATGTAGACATGATGTTTAGTGTCACTAAGAGTATTTCTTAATTGCATTATAAAAATAATAATACATATCAGAACCAAAGTGATTTCAAGGAGCCTTCATTGACAATGATGAATTCAGTCTTTTTAAAGGAAAAAGTGTCCATATTACATTTTTTATAAGATCTGCCTTATTGTAACCTCTGTCCAAGTGTCCATATTATATTCTATATAAGATTTCCCTACTGCTGTCCAAGAGTTCTTGTTATATTCTGTGTAAGATTTCCCTACCACTGTCCAAGTGTCCTTGTTAAAATCTATATAATAGTTACACACATGGATACACAAGTGCATTTAAACCAGCCACCAATAGCAGGAATCTGCCACCTGCAAGAAAGGCAGCCGCCTTGATGTCTTAGAAAGCATATATATAAACCAAGACCAACAGGCAGCAAAGGTCATCCAGCGTCGGAGGATGCAGAAGATGAGCTAGACATGCCAAGGACGTTTATGCTAGTTACCTTGGTAACAACCTCAAGTCTTTTTGATACTGGCTAAAAGTTAAGGACATATATTAATATACAAAGCAAAACAGTTGTCAGAGCTCTTCATCAGTCATTAGCACTGAAGAAATGGCACTGAAGAGATCTCCCATAGTCCAAGTCTGCAAGCACAAATTTGTGGCAAACAGATCATGAAGATTTGATTTAGTCAACATCTATTTAAAATGGTGCAACAGCTGATTTGAATGGCTAAAAGGTTAGATATCCTGATGATATCTGACTAGAGGGACAGATATCCTGATGATATGACTAGAGGGACAGATATCCTGATGATATCTGACTAGAGGGACAGATATCCTGATCATATCTGACTAGAGGGACATATATCCTGATGATAAGACTAGAGGGACAGATATCCTGATGATATGACTAGAGGGACAGATATCCTGATGATATGACTAGAGGGACAGATATCCTGATGATATGACTAGAGGGACAGATATCCTGATGATATGACTAGAGGGACAGATATCCTGATGATATCTGACTAGAGGGACAGATATCCTGATGATATGACTAGAGGGACAGATATCCTGATGATATCTGACTAGAGAGACAAGTATCCTGAGGATATCTGACTAGAGAGACAAGTATCCTGATGATATCTGACTAGAGGGACAGATATCCTGAGGATATCCTGATGATATGACTAGAGGGACAGATATCCTGATGATCTGACTAGAGGGACAGATATCCTGATGATATCTGACTAGAGGGACAGATATCCTGATGATATCTGACTAGAGGGACAGATATCCTGATGATCTGACTAGAGGGACAGATATCCTGATGATATCTGACTAGAGGGACAGATATCCTGATGATATCTGACTAGAGAGATAAGTATCCTGAGGATATCTGAGTAGAGGGACAGATATCCTGATGATAAGACAGTATTATTTTGGTTAACTGATGGAGGTTATAATGAGTTATGCTTTTCAATCTCCACAAACACAGCTGTATATAAATACTTGATATTATTTTACTTCGATATCATTTAAATATTTCAGCCTTAACCGATAATATTCCAGCGAAAAGCACTAGAGGAATTATGTGTGGAAAGCACGTTTCTCATGCTATATAAACACTTATAAAAATACATATACATACAAAATATACACCATATATAAACATCTATATATATGTAACTCTCAAGAGCTTTACAATTTCATTGTTCATTTTTCTCAATAGAGGTCCTTGCTTGCTCTCACATTTTCACTCTTAAAAAACATGAATTCCTGTCGTGTGGGGAGATAGGTAAGACGAGCAGATATGATTTGTTTATACGCAGGAAATATCAAAGATGTCTTGATATTAGTTTCTATCTGAGGGGAGATATCAAAGATGTCAGAATATTTTATTTCTTATCTGAGGAGAGATATCAAAGATGTCTGGATATTATTTCTTATTTATTAAGACGAGCAGATATGATTTGTTTATACGCAGGAAATATCAAAGATGTCTTGATATTAGTTTCCACTGAAACAAGATATATAAGATGTCAGAATATTTTATTTCTTATCTGAGGGGATATATCAAAGATGTCTGGATATTATTTCTTATCTGAGGGGAGATATCAAAGATGTCAGAATATTTTATTTCTTATCTGAGGGGAGATATCAAAGATGTCTGGATATTATTTCTTATCTATATCAACATATAAAAATATATTAGTTTCTATACAAAATATACAAATATATAAATATTTATATATCTTATCTGAGGGGATATATCAAAGATTTCTGGATATTATTTCTTATCTGAGGGGAGATATCAAAGATGTCAGAATATTTTATTTCTTATCTGAGGGGAGATATATCTGAGGGGAGATATCAAAGATGTCAGAATATTTTATTTCTTATCTGAGGGGAGATATCAAAGATGTCCAGATATCATTTCCTATCTTAGGGGAGATATCAAAGATGTCCAGATATCATTTCCTATCTTAGGGGAGATATCAAAGATGTCCAGATATCATTTCCTATCTTGGGGGAGATATAAAAGGTTGTCCAGATATGATTACATGGGGAGGGGGGGCGGATATCAAACTTTTGTGACATTTCAGCTTCATGAAGCTATACGTTTTTAATTCCAATAAGTATACATGCATTGTATGTTCTGCTCATATGATTTTAAGGATAATCACTACAAAGCCATATACGTATGCAGTAAATGAACACATGTTAATATATTTAATCTGAAATATTCTGATCCTGAAAACATAATCATATTCCCAGCAGTAGAAACAGGAATGGTTACCAATGATATCTAAATAAGTAAAACATTGTTTTCTGTATTAGTCACACTTGATATAAAGAGCACTAACAAAAACTATACAGGTGAATATTAACACAAAATGGTAACACATTTTAGTTGTACACCTGTTAAAAATTATATGGTATATTGGTAATTTCATATTATTTATTTGAAGATCAAATCTTCCTGAATAAAGATGGCAGCAGTTCAACCTAGAAGGATTGACAAAGGGCAAAGCACTGCAGAACAACGCCAGAAGACACTTAAAATGGTCCAAGACTTGTGTTTAGTTTTTAATATAGCAGGTCTCCAAATTAAACGAAGTTATTACAATTTTTTTTAAGTTGGTAGCTGTTGTGTTAGTAATGCAATGAGCATTTTTCCATATCAAATGAAATGTTTTCAGAATTGGAAAAAAAAAAAACAGAAAAAAGAAATATTAGATGCATTTGATTTATACCAAGTTGAAACCTGTTTCCGCACACCAGAATCTGGGCTACAGTACAAAATACAGGACATCACTTTTACAGGAGCAACTGATGATATTACAAACATTTAAGGGACAGTGTTTTATTTCCGATATCTTTGACAAGGTAATATTTATTTCACTGCGGTATGAAAATTGTACGTCACAGTATTTAAGGTACCTATATATTCCTAAAATTATCACTGAAGCCTGCGCATTAACAGTGAATAATACCTTCATCAAATTGAAAAATCATTGACCCTATTTCACGAATACTTTGTACAATGTAATTACAGGGTGATATGAAGTATTTGTGAATTTTGAGAAGATTTGGGTCAGATATTCGTAGAAGACTTTGTGGAACGTGAGACAAGTAAAGAAATATACCATTGGTGAGGAGTCGACCTTGAGCGAGATTTTTTCTTGACTATCAGTGTCTGGTTTCTCTTTGCCTTCATCTGCTTTCTCCTCCTTGCTTTCCATCTCTTCTTTCTTAGATTCACGCTGACTTTTCATCGATGTACTGCTCTTCATCACATTCAGATGGTTTGTCTGAGGTCATAGGTCAATATATTAATATTATAAGATTCTTTCATCTGTCAGGATGTAGGATAGGAATATTCCACCTGAGAGGTCACAAAATATCGTAAAACCTGAGACTTTCTGAAAGATTTTACCATATTTTGTGACCTTGAGGGTGAAATATCCCATCCTCCACCCTGACAAGAGTATTTTTCTATCATTTCTCATTCTAAAATATAGATAAAATACTGGCTTTAGAAATTGACAAGGTACTATTAGAGAGACCATATTAAAAAAAAATCATGTTTTATATAAAGCAATTCATCCTCAAGTTGACATAAAAAATTCTTTCCCTGTACTTAGATTTGGCAAACAAAGTTTGTCCCAGAAAATTATGATTAAATATAAATCACTGCAAATAATTATTTGTACAAAGTAAAATTTGGTTTGCCTATAGCTACTGGACAAAATTATGACCGACGGACGAATGGACGGACAAAGCGACGACTATTTGATCTCTCGTCCGTCAGCATAATTAATGTTTCTACACCATGAATATTTCATATTATACAAGAATTAGATGTGTTTGAAAATTCTCAAAACTGAAAACAGTCGACATCAATACAAAAATATCTCTGAACATCAAAAAATTATTATGATCTTCGCTTTTGTGTGGCAAAGTAAGACATCAAACCATTAGAAAAGACATCAAACCATTAGAAAAGACATCAAACCATTAGAAAAGATATCAAACCATTAGAAAAGACATCAACTTTATGAAAAGACACCAAATTTATACCACTGATATCCAAAGCAATGCTGATTCTGAATGGATTAAATGAATGCATTTCTCTTAAATATCATACAGATTATGCCATAAATACATACCAGAGTTTTGTGACTCGATGTCAGGCTGTCTATAACTTCATCCATGACTTTGTCAGAGATGTGGGTAGCTACCACTAAATTCAGCTCGCTGTAAAATTAGAAAATTTGTCACAGATGTGGGTAGCTACCACTAAATTCAGCTCGCTGTAAAATTAGAAAATTTGTCACAGATGTGGGTAGCTACCACTAAATTCAGCTCGCTGTAAAATTAGAAAATTTGTCACAGATGTGGGTAGCTACCACTAAATTCAGCTCGCTGTAAAATTAGAAAATTTGTCACAGATGTGGGTAGCTACCACTAAATTCAGCTCGCTGTAAATTTAGAAATTTTGTCACAGATGTGGGTAGCTACCACTAAATTCAGCTCACTGTAAATTTAGAAAATTTGTCAGAGACGTGGGAAGCTACCACTAAATTCAGCTCGCTGTAAAATTAGAAAATTTGTCAGAGATGTGGGAAGCTACCACTAAATTCAGCTCGCTGTAAAATTAGAAAATTTGTCAGAGATGTGGGTTGCTACCACTAAATTCAGCTCGCTGTAAATTTAGAAATTTTGTCACAGATGTGGGTAGCTACCACTAAATTCAGCTCGCTGTAAAATTAGAAAATTTGTCAGAGATGTGGGTTGCTACCACTAAATTCAGCTCGCTGTAAAATTAGAAAATTTGTCACAGATGTGGGTAGCTACCACTAAATTCAGCTCACTGTAAATTTAGAAAATTTGTCAGAGATGTGGGAAGCTACCACTAAATTCAGCTCGCTGTAAAATTAGAAAATTTGTCACAGATGTGGGTAGCTACCACTAAATTCAGCTCGCTGTAAGATGTAGCTAGCTTTTGCAGATATTTAATTCAATAACAGCATTAGACAGGTAGGTCAAGTTGTTTTTATACTATTTCCAACAGATTCTACACAAAGTAAGCCAATCATCACATACTTTAATCTATAAAATATCTCGGTTTGGTATTTGGTGAAATCTTGAGGCAATGACTGAGGTTACCTACCTTAGTTTATTAAATATCTCTGTTTCTACACTGTCTAGGATATGTTTGGTGAAATCTTGAGGCAATGACTGAGGTTACCTACCTTAGTTTATTAAATATCTCTGTTTCTACACTGTCTAGGATATGTTTGGTGAAATCTTTAGGAAAGGAACTTTTTTCTCCACAATTTGTCTCCAAGTCAGACTGCACTTCCTTTAGAGTGAAAGAAAGATATATGAGGGATGAAATTGAAATTACGGAATATCAGGCAATCAAAAATGTCATCCATTTCTTTTTTTTCTTAGCTTATGTGAATTTGATCAATAATTTCATATATGTAAGTTTTACAGAATTTTTCAAAGTCTGTAAACTAATCAGATGGTAACATATAAAGAAATTTATAGATTCAAGAGCGATGAGAAGATGTTTTACTTACCTTATCAGCCATCACAGAAGCACACTGGTTACTAGTACATTCTAACATGTCTTCAACTGTTTTCTGTACCAAAAATGAAAACAATTCTCATCAACATATTCCTGTTTGCATCTTGCTTATTTGTGAACAATCAATTGATTCTCAAATTAAAACTTTTTCATGGTGTTAGTTTACTCTCAATAAAATCATTTTCTTATGTCAGAGACACAGTCCAGAGGAAAATTTTACAAGACAAGAGGCCCATATGGCCTGTATTGCTCACCAGGTTTTTTTTGGCTGAAATTGCTTCATTAAAACCAAGCACACAACACAAAAAATATCTATTTTCCTATTGAAAACTTCGGACTAGGTGAGCTAAAAAAACTATCATCATTATCACCTGCTCAGAAAACTAGATTACGAGATAGCACTATTTAGTGACTTATAGTACTACACTGTGCAGAGGTGTTGTAATGTGGTAGAAAAACCCCCGTTGCATCATTCATGCAAGTAATGTGCATACAGCACAAAGTCTCAATAATATATATTACAGAATTCTTTTTACTTGACAAACAGAAACACAGACGGAGCCCCTTTTAATTTCTATTCCAATTTCACTACGCAGTGAATAAAAATATATCTGACGCTTTTTAGGGTTAATGTTCATATCCAGTTAACTTTTACATGCGTAATTGGAGCGGGTTGGTGTGGCTTGTATATAGTGTTAAATACTCTCTCTGTCACTCAGCTGATTGAGCATGCTTCTTTGGCTCAGTTGGTAGAGCAGGGTTGATTATCACGCTAGAGACCTGGGTTCGATTCCTGGTCAGGCCATTGATAGGAATGTGTATTTTCCTGGTTCTTTCACACACGTGTCAACAATAGAACAAGACACATAGCAACAACATACCTTCATATGTTTCTCCAACACCTGTCTCAGTGTGTCCGACATCTCTTTAAGACATGCTTCCACAGGGTTGCCTGTTGACAGTGACTTGTTGGCAATCACTTGTAGCTGTGGTAGCAACTGGAGCAGGAATAAAACATTATTAGAGTTATCTCCCTTTACCAATAAGGTATTAGTAACATATGGATACATGTATTTGCTTTGATTAATCAAAATATTATAAAAATTCTTTTTTAAGTAAGTTTGTCTGTATCAAAATTTTCTGAATTCGACTACATCGCCCACATTAAATTATCAATGATTTGTGAGATATGGGTTGTCAATATTTCTCACAACATAATCTAAGTCATTTCCTCGGTAATGTAATTCTACATATCTAGGCAACTTGATGTGTCCTGTGCCTGTGTTTTGTGATGTAAATAAGCTGTTAACTAGGTGTGTCCTGTATCTGTGTATTGTGATGTAAATAAGCTGTTAACTGGAGGAGGACTCCTGTATCTGTTATGTGATGTAAATAAGCTGTTAACTGGAGGAGGACTCCTGTATCTGTTATGTGATGTAAATAAGCTGTTAACTGGAGGAGGACTCCTGTATCTGTTATTGTGATGTAAATAAGCTGTTAACTGGAGGAGGACTCCTGTATCTGTGTTTTGTGATGTAAATAAGCTGTTAACTAGGTGTGTCCTGTATCTGTATTTTTTTTATGTAAATAAGCTGTTAACTAGGTGTGTCCTGTATCTGTAATTGTGATGTAAATAAGCTGTTAACTGGAGGAGGACTCCTGTATCTGTTATGTGATGTAAATAAGCTGTTAACTGGAGGAGGACTCCTGTATCTGTTATTGTGATGTAAATAAGCTGTTAACTGGAGGAGGACTCCTGTGCCCGTGTATTGTGATGTAAATAAGCTGTGTGTGTCCTGTACCTGTTTGGAGTTGCCTGCATCCTTTATAAGACTGTTGGCCACATTTATGTCAGACTGGAAGTCTTCTGTGTTTCCGTGGTCAAGAGCATTCACAGTGTCCTGGTTCTGGACTACCAATCTGTCCATTGTCTGTGAACATCAACATTAAACAAAGGTCATCAGAGTACCTCATCACACAGGAAGTGTTCACATAATGAAGGTGATTCACATACTGAGGGTGATACACATACTGAAGGTGATTCACATACTGAATGTGATTCACATACTAAATGTGATTTACATACTGAAGGTGATTCACATACTGAAGGTGATTCACATACTGAAGGTGATTCACATACTGAATGTGATTCACATACTGAAGGTGATTCACATACTGAAGGTGATTCACATACTGAGGTGATTTACATACTGAATGTGATTCACATACTGAGGGTGATACACATACTGCAGGTGATTCACATACTGAATGTGATTCACATACTAAATGTGATTTACATACTGAAGGTGATTCACATACTGAAGGCGATTCACATACTGAAGGTGATTCACATACTGAAGGTGATTCACATACTGAAGGTGATTCACGTATTGAAGGTGATTCACATACTGAATGTGATTCACATACTGAAGGTGATTCACATACTGCAGGTGATTCACATACTGAAGGTGATTCACACATACTAAATGTGATTCACATGTTCTGAATGTGATTCACATATCAAATATGATTCACATTCTGAATGTAGTTCACATATGATTTCACTAAAACACTGCATTTTTATTCATGCTTTGATCTGATAGAAACAATTCTAGAACAAGAGACATGATGAAAGATTAAATGTTTATTCACTGAGTCACCAGTAAATCTTGTCAACAAAATTTTTTGCGCATTTCACCAAAATATATTGATCTCTACATACAACATACATTTACAGAGAGAATAATGGTAAGGGAAAATGAACAATTGCCAGAATATTTTTTGACATCAAGATGACCGATGTCCATACCTGTTGGGTAGAGCTGACCAGAAATCCCTGTTGCATCCTAAAGCCCTGGTCAGATGAATATTTCTGTGGACTATGGTTTCGCTGTAGTAACATCTCAATCTATTTAAAACCAAACAAGAATGAGGCACTTGACTTCAATACATTCAAAACTAAAATGATCTTTTTCAACATCATCAACAAATAATTTTGTTGGTTCCATTTTATTTTCTGGTGTGTTTTCTCAAAATGAAAGCCAAGCCTTAATTTTGATTAGAAATTTGACCCAATGTCTTTATTCCAGAATATGTTATATCTAAAAGTTATCAAAAAAAAAAAATGTTTTGAGAAATGAAAATTCCTTATAACTGGCAACCATATTAGAAGTCCAGCAAATCTAGCATATCCTACAGTTCCTATCATAGTTTTTTTGTTGTACCTTCTGTAGAGAGGCTTCTGTCCTCTCTGGATGTTGTTTCAGAGCAGATCCAGCATCGTTGATAGGGGTGGGCATCTTCTTCAGTGTGTAGTTCCTTAAATAGATGTAAATATCCAGCTTAATGTACAATTAAAGTTACACACATGATCAAGAAAAAAAAGTCCTGTGGTTGGGTGGCACAGTGGTAACACTCATTTTCCACCTAGGTCTTCCATGTCACCTGCCCTACCACCTGGGTCTTCGAGTCACCTGCCCGGGTCTTCGAGTCACCTGCCCTACCACCTGGGTCTTCGAGTCACCTGCCCTACAACCTAGGTCTTCTGTGTCACCTGCCCTACCACCTGGGTCTTCGAGTCACCTGCCCTACCACCGGGGAATTTGAGTTTTAATTATTATATTGTTATTATGTTGGTATTTTCTCTATTTTTTTTTCAAAAGATATGATACAGTAACGGCAATCTTACTTTTCTAAGGCTCCAGCGATGTCCTCAAACCCTAGAACAGTTGTGGAATTCTTGTCCCACAGAATAGTCCGCAGCTTAGTGTTGATCTGTAAAGCCTTGGAAAGCATCCTCGCTCCAAAGTCTCCCATATGGTTTCCACTGTAATATAATAAAACCAGTACAGAAAAAACTGTTATAAAATGAGATTAATAAAATCTTTCACCTACTTGGAGGCGATGTAGGGAGATCTCAACCAGAAGATAAAAATGATTAAGTTAGCCAACAAGAGGCTTGCCAGCAGTTTACAACTAAAACATCTTTTCCCGAGGGTTGAGTTACACCTATGTCACCAGTAAGGAGGTGAATGATTATTTTTTCTCTTACCCTGCTGACTAAATTAGGTACTTGTATATGTTTTTGTTGTCCCAATGTTTTGCATCATTGATGTAATTTAATTGTGACATGACATCACATTGATCAGACAAAAGATGATTATCTCCCTTTAAAGATAAAACCCTATATGGTTTAGTGTTGCTTTAAGTCCTGTAACAGCCTAGGTCATTTGAGGACATGCCAGGTTTGGTTGGTGGAGAAAAGCTGGAGTTCACAGAGAAAAACCACCAACCTGCGGGCAGTTCTTTGCAACATGATCCACATAGGCCTCGAACCCATGACCCAGAGGTTGAGGGCTCGTGATAAAGATTCTCCGAGACCTTAACCACTCGGCCACTGTGACCCTAAATCACAACATGAATTTCTTTAATTGATCGACCACATACCTGATGTCAATTTCCAACAGAGAAAGGTTACTACCAAGTGAGTTGAGTATAGTTGATATATGACTCTTCAACTTGGAATCCGCCAATGACAGAGACTCCAGATGCTGTAAAATAAGACAATTAAACACTCAAAATTTTCCCCTATAAAAATCGCTGATTTCTGGAATTTTGGATAAGAAATTTCACAGGTGTGTAAGAAATTCAATTTAATATTATTTAAATATCTACGAATTTCATTTCACTTAAAAACAGACAGATGCAATTTTTCAATATGTTAATTTAATTACCGTAAAAACGAGCAATTTTCAGCAAGTTCACTATCAGCAGCTAGGGAGTGTTTTCAGGGTGTCTTTCAATGGGAATTTGAAGAACTAATGTAAAGGTTTTAATTAATTGCTTTTTATTTTTACAATATTTGTGAAACGTTATTAATCACTCCCGTCAGCTTGGATGGACGTGCCAAAGGGGATTTAAATGGAGTAACGGTATCCCTTGGGTATACGGTTTTCAAAAGTAAGAAAGGCCTTGGGTGTGAACTTTGAGAATGAGAGTGGGGTTGTTGTTGGTTTATTAAGTATGTTGAGAGCGTGATTCTAGACTGAATATATTCCATTAGTTTTATTTAGTATGGTGTCTTTAAAACATATCACATAGTATAGGTTTTTCCTTAAACAGTGGGTAAATGATACAAATATTACAATTTACAAAAAATTGATAAAAAAAGAATTGAAGCTAAACTAAATGTCAAGTCTTGTGGTTCTAAGTCGGTAACTTTAATGGATAAAAACCACTTAACTTTAATAAATTTTGAGTGTAATGAAAGCATTTAAGTGCAGATCGAGTCATGCAAACTAATAGATGCCAATCTATTAAGCAGCAGGTATTTTATTTTGATACCACTACTTAATACAAATAGTGCATCCTTTTTTATCCATTTTTATGTTAAATGTCCTTGAAATATCGTACTTACATAATCTTCATCTTGAATCAGCTGTACAATGGCATCAAGGACATTTGGTAAATTTCTGGAAATACACACATGCATGCATCATTAAAAGAAATTTGAAATATATTAAATCACATTGTAAGATTTAATCAAATTCTACTCTTGTATGATAAAACGTTTGTTTTGAAAAAAAAAACTCTTTCAGATTAATCTTCATAACAAATTTCTGTTAAAAGCAAATTGTCCTGACAAGTAAACCAGGAAGTACAGAAGGTAGGAACAAATAGCCTACAATCTACTGAATTGTCAAATTTATGCCAACAATTCGAACATGTAACATGCTAATCATTTTTTTTTCAACAAATTTCTTTCTTTGTCTCACAACCTACCAATCTAGTAATTGATTCGGTTATACCTTGGTTTGATGTGGTCGAAGTTACGGCCGATAGCCAGGTGTTTTATTCCTCGGTTGTTTCTGATCCAGTTGAGCAGGCTGATGAGGCTTTGGTCAATACCTATATAGACGAAACACACAGGCATTGAACACACAAAGTTACATGGTGAATACCTGTATACTAAACCTATCACCGGCCAATAAAATCTAAAGGAGAACCCAAACTTTCTCTTACCTTCCGATCATCTACCAAAACAACTTACAACAAAATATCATATGATGTCAAAGTAATTTACAAACTTTTCCTTACTCTTTTGGTTAGATTATCAATACATGATCTATAAAATCGTTTCTGCAAAAAGAATTTTTTTTTATTATTTTTGTGCATCAAGGAACTTGAATGATGTTTATTGATTAATCTATAGGATATAAATATACATATTTTCTTTGTGAAATCACAAAATTAAAGATAACTTTAGGATATTTATGGAAAACAAAATTTTTTCAAAACTTTCGGAGAAAGGTCTAACACTTCAGTTTGTTTGAGTTAAATCTTCATTATTATAAAAAACAGTAAAGTTTGGAACCAATGCCAGATTGTATGCAGAGAATAAGATATGATGATATAAAACCTCAACACCCCAGCCATCACCAAAGATGCAAAACCGGTCAACCGTTACGATGTAGGGAATATATACAAGAATTGGCTGTGGTGCGTTGAGGTTGAATTTCATATTCATTGTTATAAAGGTTGTAACCTCCGAGTGGGGTTCGCGTGTATAATGAGTTTGAGATACATCAACATCGTTACGAAGGTCCAGAATGAGATCATTTACCGTTATTACTGAGGTCAAGACTTTTGAGACATTTGATGTTGCTGAGGCAGCTCTCAAGCACCGTGGCCCCCTGGGACATGAGGTCGTTACTGCTGAGGTCGAGGTGTACACCACTCAGATGTATGTTACTGGCTAATCCTAGCAACAGCTCTCTGTAAACACAAAACTAACACAGGTAAAAAGTGTGTTGTAATCATGTATGTAAATCCTCTGTTGATCCTCATTCCCATAAACAACCTTCCAAATAATAGAACAACTTGTCTTTTTCAACATTTAAAAATTTCACTTCCTTGTCTTATTGTAAGTTTAGTACACTTGTATTTTCATTGACTGCATTCATGCTGTACAGGAACAAAGTGTTTTACACCACACACATAGATGGGGGTCTTGCAAAATGTTCACAGCAGGTCCACGTGTCTTATTCCAAGTTTGTTACAAAAGTAGTTCATTATAAAATTTTCATGTTCCGTTTCTTGCTCTAGGGGAAGTTAACAGCAAGACGTGTCTTACTTGAGGGGTTCATTAGGAAGTTAACAGCAAGACGTGTCTTACCTGTGGGGTTCATTAGGAAGTTAACAGCAAGACGTGTCTTACCTGAGGAGTTCATTAGGAAGTTAACAGCAAGACGTGTCTTACCTGAGGAGTTCATTAGGAAGTTAACAGCAAGACGTGTCTTACCTGAGGAGTTCATTAGGAAGTTAACATCAAGACGTGTCTTACTTGAGGGGTTCATTAGGAAGTTAACATCAAGACGTGTCTTACTTGAGGGGTTCACTAGGAAGTTAATAGCAAGGTGTCTTACTTAAGGGTTCATTAGGAAGTTAACAGCATGATGTCTTATCTGAGAGGTTCATTAAGATGTTAATAGCAAGGTGTCTTACTTAAGGGTTCATTAGGAAGTTAACAGCAAGGTGTCTTATCTGAAGTGTTCATTAGGAAGTTAATAGCAAGGTGTCTTACTTAAGGGTTCATTAGGAAGTTAACAGCATGATGTCTTATCTGAGAGGTTCATTAAGATGTTAATAGCAAGGTGTCTTACTTAAGGGTTCATTAGGAAGTTAATAGCAAGGTGTCTTATCTGAAGTGTTCATTAAGAAGTTAACGGCAAGGTGTCTTATTTGAGCCGTTCATAAGTAAATTTTAGCTAGTTGTCATACAACATGGGTCTACAAGGAATCCTAAATCAATAGTCTTACTTAAGGATGTTTACAGTCAGTTGTCCTTCCTGAAGAGTTCACTAGGACATTTACATCCAGGCGTCTTACCTGAGGGATCATTTATCGATAAACTCAGTCAGATGTCCTACTTAGGGTCATATTAGGATATTCAGAATGAGTGTTTTACCTGAGTGGTTCACTAAAAAGTTTACAGCCAGATAGATCCAGATGTTGTAGATCATACACACTGGCAAAAAACTGTTTCCAGGATGATGGCGGTGTTACATCTTTGACTTTCTTGTGAGAGAAAGTGTTCCTTGCCAAGGTAAGATGTGTGAGAGTAGCTAAACTGCCTCGTAGTAACGGCCCACACAGCTGGAAAAAAAAATATAAAAGCACTTACCTAAATGCTAAAAGTATTAACAACGAGATCTCAGAGGGATCGTGGTACCCTTAAACGTTCGATCTTTCTTTCCTCTTCTTTTCTCTTCTCTTTGATGTTTTAGATCTTGATAATAAGAAATATGAACATTCCTTTGCAGAAATAGCAATGATTATCTTTAATTGCCAAATCAAAGATGGTTGCCTGGAAGCCGTTTTGTTTTTTTAAGCAAGGCCAAATTCAAATGAGCACAACTAAGGACAAAGAAGAACCTACATACAAAATCTGAGAAAGATCTACCTAGTATTTCTCAAGAAATAACAATCTTTCAAACTCAAAATTGAAGATGGCCACCTGTCTGCCATTTTGTCTTTCTGATCAATCCTAAAATCAAACAGGCATAACTTGGGACCAAGGGGAACCCACATATAAAATTTGAGAAAGATCCGTCTAGTGCTTCTCAAGAAACAGCGATAACAAAAACTATTTACAGACAGACCACAGACACTGGACATAGGGTGATTTGAATACCCGACCATCTGATGATGGTGGGCTAAAAACATTGTAAATTTACAAGTTCTTCTTTTGAAATTAAGCGCTTGTATAAAGGAGAAAAAACATGGTTGCAAAACTGGAATTATATATACCAATAAGTTTTAATTAGTAAAGTAATCAATGGTTGGGCAAATTGAATATGAGATCAGTTGCTTTTGAAACTTTCACGGCAGAGCCTCTTGATTAAGAATACTTGTGTGTTGGCTCAACAGGGGTCAGACATGAGTTTACCCCAACACTGGAAGAAAACCTCATGTTTACCATCACCTCAAATGATGTCAAATATTTCAGATTTCACTGCTGGCTTGGCTGATGTAAAGGAAAGAATGGTTCACTCGTCTGAGAAATGATAACAGGGGGTCTCAACCTCAGGTAGAAGATTATTACGGATCTTCCCTAAAACATAGTTTTAATGATCCTTTTTTTCTCTTTCCTGTTGAACTTCAAATGAATCGCTGACATGATATTGAGGCAATCTTGATACAACTTTATGAAATCACTAACACGAGGATAAAATCCTCCTTTTTTTTAACTTAGCGATTGAACGAAGAATTATCCTATTTAGATTAGAGAACATCTAAGGGCATGTGGTGTAATATTTCTGTATAATCAATAATAATTATGAATCATAATTGTTTCTAAAGTTCAACAGAGTACAGCAAGACAAACAAACGTCATCACTGTTACCAACTTTAGCACAGCTACCTACATTTTCCAAGGCACAGTCTATACCAGACAGGTCCAAGTGTGTGACGGTATTTGGGTTGGCGAGAAAGTGGTACAGCTTCTGAAATACAAAGTTCATGGTCACTGAGTAAGGTCAAAGGCTAAAAAGTTAGTCTTGTAAAAGCTCTATTAAATATCATAAAAGGTCAAACAAACAACTGAGGGGAAAGGTCAATATCAAACAACTGAGGTGAAAGGTCAATATCAAACAACTGAGGTGAAAGGTCAATATCAAACAACTGAGGTGAAAGGTCACTGACAAATAAAACCAGAATAATATGAATGATATTGGGAACAAACAAGCCTGAAGCAAATGTGTGAAAAATTCAGAATTATCTATCCTATGCCAAGGTTACAATCAGCTGTCAGGAGGTCATACACACGTGACCATCAAATATAAGATTTAAATTTCAATCAATATAAATGCTTATGTCTCCATGACGTCTCAATGTTTACGTAACAACTACAACCATCTTGAGTCACAAAATTCTACTTCAGCTAGGGCATATGAAAATTGTAAAAGTCATCATGGGTAAAACATGTTGACATCTAGATCGACTTCATTTCTATGTTTCATGTTCATTATATAGAATGGACCTCTATTGAATACTGTAAAGTATCCAACCCCGAAGATACTACTATTTGAAATAATTTGAGAGTTTGTTCTCCTATTTTTAATTTAGCATAAATATTTGTCAAACTATAGATGAAACCATTTTGTGAGGTAGTTACATGACAGTCACTGTTCTTGACTCTCAATATCTATTGGTCTATATTATAAAACCTGACTGAACACCTGAAATTTTCTCACCTGAAGATCCTCCCCCTTGGCTGGATTATCAGCGAGGCTTAAGTTTTGAAGTTTTCCCACTACTACCATGTTATGTGTGAGGGTCTCTGCTACCTTGTTTAGACCCCTTCCAGTGATCTTGGCATGGCTGATGTCAAACCGTATCAAACCTCGACACAAACTCCCCAGGGTTCCGATCAGGTGGATGATGGCTAATTATAAACAACATTTTGAAGTTTTTTCATTAATATCTCATATCATATAAAAATATTAAGCTTAAAATAGATCCGTTCAAGAAACAATTTCAGTTTTCCAGAATGAAAGGTAAGACTAACTGAAAGACTTGTCTGTACAATACAGATGTATAACATTAATTGTAAGACAGGTACCTACCTTTGTCATCGAGTGTGTTTTTTGACAGGTCTATACTATGTAGTGCTGTAGAACTGTTGGACAGGAGAGCTGTTGAAAGCTTCTGAACAAAATCTCTGTTACAATAAAAAGATTTTTCATCATGTCACAGTGCAAAGGATATAGGAAACTAAATATCACTATATATCAAACAGTTTTAATTTCTAACCCCAGAGAATTTTATCTTTGTTCTGAGTAATCAAATTCACTAACTTAAATTTTAGTTCCATAAAAATTTCATATCAGGCAACGGAAAGGTCGATACTCAGGCATAAATTTCCACTGGGGTCATGGTGACCTCCTGACACAAACTTTCATATTTACTCTCAATGAGTCACCAGACCATTAACTTACATGTTTATTCCTGTGGTACCAGACTATATCCTTTCCTATCTATCCTTGTGGTACCATACCTAAAACTTATGTTATTATCCCTGTGGCACCAGACTACAAACTTACGTATTTATCCCGGTGGCACCAGACTACAAACTTACGTATTTATCCCGGTGGCATCAGATATAAACTTACGTGTTTATCCCTGAGTTACTTAGACATAATTCGTTTATCACAGCATTCCTTCTCATCACCTTGAACACTTCTAACTGGGCTTCCAATGTCTGTAAATGATTGAAAACAATATATTAGGAAGAGATGTACATTATATGAATACAAGCACTTTCACATCCTTGTACAATGGTTTCAGTAGTAAGCAATGTTAAGCCACTCACCAGTTTGACATCGTTGGCATCAAGCTTGGTAAACCATGTGTTGTGTTCTAAGGCTCCTATGATAGGCACAAGATCTCTGGAAAACAACAACACCACTATAGTCAGTATATAAAACAACAACACCACTATAGTCAGTATATAAAACAACACCACTATAGTCAGTATATAAAACAACAACACCACTATAGTCAGTATATAAAACAACAATACCACTACAGTCAGTATATAAAACAACAACACCACTATAGTCAGTATATAAAACAACAACACCACTATAGTCAGTATATAAAACAACAACACCACTATAGTCAGTATATAAAACAACAACACCACTATAGTCAGTATATAAAACAACACCACTATAGTCAGTATATAAAACAACAATACCACTATAGTCAGTATATAAAACAACAACAACACTATAGTCAGTATATAAAACAACAACACCACTATAGTCAGTATATAAAACAATACCACTACAGTCAGTATATAAAACAACAACACCACTAGAGTCAGTATATAAAACAACAACACCACTATAGTCAGTATATACCAATAGTCAACAACACCACTATAGTCAGTATATAAAACAACAACACCACTAGAGTCAGTATATATAACAACAACACCACTATAGTCAGTATATAAAACAACAACACCACTATAGTCAGTATATAAAACAACAACACCACTATAGTCAGTATATAAAACAATACCACTACAGTCAGTATATAAAACAACAACACCACTATAGTCAGTATATAAAACAACAACACCACTATAGTCAGTATATAAAACAACAACACCACTATAGTCAGTATATAAAACAACAACACCACTATAGTCAGTATATAAAACAACAACACCACTATAGTCAGTATATAAAACAACAACACCACTATAGTCAGTATATAAAACAACAACACCACTATAGTCAGTATATAAAACAACAACACCACTAGAGTCAGTATATAAAACAACAACACCACTATAGTCAGTATATAAAACAACAACACCACTATAGTCAGTATATAAAACAACAATACCACTAGAGTCAGTATATAAAACAACAACACCACTATAGTCAGTATATAAAACAACAACACCACTATAGTCAGTATATAAAACAATACCACTATAGTCAGTATATAAAACAACAACACCACTATAGTCAGTATATAAAACAACAACACCACTATAGTCAGTATATAAAACAACAACACCACTATAGTCAGTATATAAAACAACAACACCACTATAGTCAGTATATAAAACAACAACAACACTATAGTCAGTATATAAAACAACAATACCACTATAGTCAGTATATAAAACAACAATACCACTATAGTCAGTATATAAAACAACAACAACACTATAGTCAGTATATAAAACAACAACACCACTATAGTCAGTATATAAAACAACAACAACACTATAGTCAGTATATAAAACAACAACACCACTATAGTCAGTATATAAAACAACAACACCACTATAGTCAGTATATAAAACAACAATACCACTATAGTCAGTATATAAAACAACAACACCACTATAGTCAGTATATAAAACAACAACACCACTATAGTCAGTATATAAAACAACAACACCACTATAGTCAGTATATAAAACAACAATACCACTATAGTCAGTATATAAAACAACAACACCACTATAGTCAGTATATAAAACAACAATACCACTATAGTCAGTATATAAAACAACAACACCACTATAGTCAGTATATAAAACAACAATACCACTATATTGTCAATATATAAAACAACAATACCACTATAGTCAGTATATAAAACAACAACACCACTATAGTCAGTATATAAAACAACACCACTATAGTCAGTATATAAAACAACAACACCACTATAGTCAGTATATAAAACAACACCACTATAGTCAGTATATAAAACAACAACACCACTATAGTCAGTATATAAAACAACACCACTATAGTCAGTATATAAAACAACAACACCACTATAGTCAGTATATAAAACAACAAACCACTATAGTCAGTATATACCACTATAGTCAGTATATAAAACAACAACACCACTATAGTCAGTATATAAAACAACAACACCACTATAGTCAGTATATAAAACAACAACACCACTATAGGCAGTATATAAAACAACACCACTATAGTCAGTATATAAAACAACAACACCACTATAGGCAGTATATAAAACAACACCACTATAGTCAATATATAAAACAACAACACCACTATAGTCAGTATATAGAACAACACCACTATAGTCAGTATATAAAACAACAACACCACTATAGTCAGTATATAAAACAACAACACCACTATAGTCAGTATATAAAACAACAACAACACCACTATAGTCAGTATATAAAACAACAACAACACCACTATAGTCAGTATATAAAACAACAACACCACTATAGTCAGTATATAAAACAACAACAACACCACTATAGTCAGTATATAAAACAACAATACCACTATAGTCAGTATATAAAACAACAACACCACTATAGTCAGTATATAAAACAACAACACCACTATAGTCAGTATATAAAACAACAACACCACTATAGTCAGTATATAAAACAACAACACCACTATAGTCAGTATATAAAACAACAACACCACTATAGTCAGTATATAAAACAACAACACCACTATAGTCAGTATATAAAACAACAACAACACCACTATAGTCAGTATATAAAACAACAACAACACCACTATAGTTAGTATATAAAACAACAACACCACTATAGTCAGTATATAAAACAACAACACCACTATAGGCAGTATATAAAACAACAATACCACTATAGTCAGTATATAAAACAACAACACCACTATAGGCAGTATATAAAACAACACCACAATAGTCAATATATAAAACAACAACACCACTATAGTCAGTATATAGAACAACACCACTATAGTCAGTATATAAAACAACAACACCACTATAGTCAGTATATAAAACAACAACACCACTATAGTCAGTATATAAAACAACAACACTATAGTCAGTATATAAAACAACAATACCACTATAGTCAGTATATAAAACAACAACACCACTATAGTCAGTATATAAAACAACAACACCACTATAGTCAGTATATAAAACAACAACACCACTAGAGTCAGTATATAAAACAACAACACCACTATAGTCAGTATATAAAACAACACCACTATAGTCAGTATATAAAACAACAACACCACTATAGTCAGTATATAAAACAACAACACCACTATAGTCAGTATATAAAACAACAACACCACTATAGTCAGTATATAAAACAACAACACCACTATAGTCAGTATATAAAACAACAACACCACTATAGTCAGTATATAAAACAACAACACCACTATAGTCAGTATATAAAACAACACCACTATAGTCAGTATATAAAACAACAACACCACTATAGTCAGTATATAAAACAACACCACTATAGTCAGTATATAAAACAACAACACCACTATAGTCAGTATATAAAACAACAACACCACTATAGTCAGTATATAAAACAACAACACCACTATAGTCAGTATATTACTTAATATCACTTTATATTAAGTATAAAAACAATTACACAACAACAAAACTATACATAAATCCATTTTAACAATGTCAGTATTGTTAACATAGAAAATAAGCATGCAATGCTTGCTGGTAATGCACTGTCATTTATAATGACTGTAAATGTCATAACAAGACAGTTTGATACTTATTATCAAATAACCAAAACAATACAATAACAAGTTATAAAATCTTAAGTGAAATTCTACCCTGCTGAACACTGGATCATGCTAAGTATCACTAAACCTGTAACTTACTTTGGTTCTAAGTGATCGAAGTCACGAAGGCAGAGTTCTCTTGAGTCTTGTGAAAGGTATATTGTATCAATATCCTGCAATGATAATTACCAATATTAATTACTTATCTTATACATACATATCATGAAAAATAAATTTGTTATTATTACTGAAGATTAATTAAAACATCATGCTCTCTAAACTCACAATATACTATATTATCCAGGTTATTAACTGCACCAGTATGTAAGCTGCAGAGCCAATCTTTAAGGATTTTTTTAATTAGATCCACATACTAGCTGCACCGGAATATAAGCCACACCCTTTCTTACGATGTGGTAACCATTGACCAAAGTTTGTTGATATAACAGACAGCGAAAGGCAATTTATCAAGATCTTCAGTGAAACATTTAAGTTAAGTTTCCAAATGAATCATACACAGATAATCCTTTAATCTATTGATGTGTTTCAACAACGTAAAATAGCTTCCTTAATATGTAATGCTCCTGAACCAATGTCTAGGCGATACGCTTCATTTTTTTTTCCTCGTTTCTCGATTGTTTTTTGTCCATATATAAGCCCCACTGGTATATAAGCCCCACTGGTGATGGTATATAAGCCCCACTGGTACTGGTATATAAGCCCCACTGGTATATAAGCCAAACACCTGACCACCAAGGGAAAATGCTGCGGCTTATAATCCAGAAAATATGGTACCCATTTAACATCTGTCCTGAAGGTCACACATTTATATGGTTCCACACCATTTAAGGTCTGTCTGAAAATGACATACATATATAGGCATAGTTATGTATGAATTCTACCTTTGTCCTGATGTCACATCATACATACCCATTCAACCTCTGCCCTAAAGGGCAGGCTGTGGTAGTCACACATACAAGCATACATCATGGTAAATCCACCACATGGTCCTGTTTCCTTAGAGATGTTTTTAGTCATGTCTGTCATCATCTTTGTCCGTTCTGGTGGGCACACATCTATTTTCTTAATCAATCTCCTGTAATAAAACAGAGAAAATTTCCTGATCAATCAAGGATGGTGGTTGCCTTCTCAAAGCCATGACAAGTTATAATTTTCAAAGTTTTAAAACTGTAAAGCCATATATATTATGGCATAATTATCAGAAATGGAGTTTATATGCAGAAATCTTTCTGGGTTGAACAATACTTACTCTATGGTGAAGTCGGGGAAGATGTGACATAGAGATACTGCCAAGTGTGTGATCATGTGATTGACCTCCTCTGTCTCCACATCCAGTGTCACAAAGTTGTATGTTTTTCCATCTACTGTTAGAGCTAACTGTAACAAAAATCACAATAGCTTCATTAATCATTAAATTCATACACCTATTACTCTATACCTATATCGATAGTCTACATCTTTATCTTTAGTCTACACATCATTACAATAAGATACGCTTTATTGCAGATTTACCTTGAGAACTAGTGAAAATAAAAAATAATTATTCCATTGTGTATTTTTACAAACAGATAAATATTTTATTAAGACTGATAAACAATATTACATACCTGGTTCTGTTTTTTACTTTCTATTGCTTGAATGTCAAGATAATTAAAGTTATTCTCCAGCTGTGAAAAAGAAAAGTCTTGATAATAAAAGTTATTCTCTAGTTGTCAAACAGAGAAATGTCACCTTCCAGACTGCAATAATCAGGTTATGTTACAAATATGTTTCTAAACACAATTCACACTAAAATACAGCTTTCCTACATAGTCATACTGTACACCTTACATAGAAACACTGTCCAAAATGGATAGCATGATATTATCATATCATAACATAGTTTTTTCTAGATATCCAAACTATAGAATACCTATCATCCATATAGAATGCATATTCCCCTACAGAATACCTATCATCCATAAAGAATACATATTATCAATATAGAATACATATCCTCCTTTTAGATTACATAACCTTGGTAAAGAATACACATCCTTCATATGGAATGCATATCCTCTAACAGAACTCATATCCTCCATATAGAATACATTTCCTCCTACAGAATACATATCATCCATATAGAGTACATATCCTTCCTATAGAATACATATCCTTCCTATAGAGTACATATCCTTCCTATAGAATACATATCCTTCCTATAGAATACCTATCCTTCTACAGAATACATATCCTCCTTTTAGATTACATAACCTTGGTAAAGAATACACATCCTTCATATGGAATACATATCCTCTAACAGAACTCATATCCTCCATATAGAATACATTTCCTCCTACAGAATAACAACATCCTACAGAATACATATCCTCATTATTGAATACATATTTTCCATATTAAATAAATGTCCTCCCCACAGATACAGATATTTTCCTGCAGAATATATATGCTCCCTAAAGAATACTTATCCCCCTTATAGAATAAATATTCTCCTACAAAACACATTTTTCTCCTTATAGAATACATATCCTTCATGTAGAATATATATATCTTCCCAATCCTTTCTTCCATAGATATGCTTTTATGCTTTCCACCAAGAATAAGATGCATCTTCAGAATCAATAATAAGGACATAAATTAATTACATGATCAAATTATATCATACTTATTTAATGGTATGTATACCCTTACAATATTTCCTGTAAACATGTACAGTCTATCTCCCATAAAACTATCCATGCATGTAATTAGCACATTGAATGTTCTATAAATACCTGTACTAATTAACAATAAAAACATCTAACTCCCCTGTCTCATGTTACCTGTTTGTGTGTCTCTGTCCTACGGTAAAGAATCCAAACTACTTTAACTAAAAAGAAGTTAAGCCTTACAGTATAGTACACAACATATATACAGACATTCTCTACCCATATGTGTGACCCCTTCACCGACGATTTCCCCAAACACTGAAGTCCCCCTCATTATAAATCATAACAGACCCAGCGGGATAACACACAGACAATTTGTCCAAATCTGGGAACTATCAAACATCTTTACAGAATATCACCCTGAACTCAAATGTACAAAGATGGGAGAAGATGGATTGGCACATGGCACCCTAGCTTTCTAGTGATGCCAATTTGTGACCTGCATAAAACTTTCTTTCACCTTAAACATTTAATTACACAATACAACATACTCATTACATACATAAACAACATATTAAATCTATCATGAAGTCAGAGGGCATGCTTATTACAAGACATTGAAAAACTTTTTCAGATCAATATGGAAATAAAGTTCAATTATCAAGTTGGAAAAAAATCATAAAACATGATGTGTAAGGAAGCAAACAAAAACATGATGTCTACAGACCAACAGATGGAAATAAAAAAATATTAAAACTTCAAATGTAAAATTTGTACAAAAAATTTATTCTTACCCTTGCTGGTGTTTTTGGAATGAATACAAATAGTCGACATCCTGAGAAAACCTAAATAGAAGAGAGAAAAAGCATTCTTTACTCAAATGTCTATGTTAATGACGTTTTTGTCCATTATGGGCTTTACCTTATCTGATTGGTATTTCAGAAAGACTGTCCTTGACCTGAATAGTCAATGGCGACACAATTGCAGCACACTATGGAAATGGCTGTAATTTACCATAACTGAGAATAGGGTTTTTTTCATTGGTGTAAATGAAATACCGTCAGTATATATAATATACAGATGTTTATATGTAATTACTGTACTTGTATGTGTCTATACCGATGTTAGCACAATCTGCAATAATCATTACATATTGTGTGAGTATTCATTAGGATGTCAAGCAACCATTTTACTTCACATTTCTAAAATAAGCCTAAAATATGATTTCAGTAGTGTAACACATCTGGTTGAAAAATTTTAAGATGTGCTTCAAAACTCTCAAATGAAATGAAAATGTGTGCATGTGACATGGTTTTGAAGTTTCATAGCAAAAGAAACAGTATTCAATAAATTCATGTCAATTCTTAAAATATTCACAGCTAATCATTGTCTTTGAAACAACATCAAAATACCATCATATAGTTAACATAGTCGTAATTCAAACTCAAAATTGGTGGAATGCAAAATAAAACGTCGACAAAACAAAGCCTTCCCTGGAGGCCTCTGAAAAAGTACATGGAGACAATGTGTAGAAATATCAAAATCTAAAACGCAAGCTTATAACAAGGACACCATTTTTGGAATTTACCTATTATGACATATTTGCGAATACATATTTCCTGAACGCAGATCTATAAATGACTTTAAATCTGCGAATGATGAGCTATTAGAGACCAGGAGCCCTAGATTCCGATATCGGTAAAAAAAATTCAACATGAAAGAGTTATTTGCGTGTAAATAGTTGTGAAGGATTTTGAATTGCGATTGACTCTCCACGCGTATTTATGCAGAAATAAATCTCACACAAAATGTAAGTGATTTTTAATACTAATTAGCATCAAAGCAGAGGCAATATAACATAACACAATAGGAAACAGGTTATATCTTTTGATGAGGTCATAATGAAAAAAAAATTCCCCAAAGTTTTCATCAGACCTGGATCTGGAAACCCTATTAGAACACAGTCAGAACCATTGAGGAAGCAACGAGTAACAAAGGACATACATATATTACAGCATATTATTTTTAAAACTTTTTAAACACAATGCACAGCTGTCACTAAATAAACAGGTATATATGGATTAGACTCTAAATCCTTGTGAATGAGGGGTTTTTTTGTCATTGATTACATAAATGGCTATCACATATCTAGTTTCTAAGCGATTTATACCTATCGACACTTTCTACTTTCACAGGATCTTTAAAATCACCTGGATTCTGAATAATTCCTGTACATTACTGTGAATACAGTTTTATACCTAGAGGACCTTATTACATAAAATCAATACATATGTATATACAGGCAATACAAAACCACATTTTTGTAAGGTAGGGTATTTAAAAAACAGTTAAGAAGGTATTTTCAATTTTCAGAATGTGCAAGCTTTCTCCTAGATTTCAAACCTGAAATGTTCTATGACAAAAAAAACAAGAGTTCTGCCTACAGTACAAAGCTGACTTCAAATTCAGCCATTCCCCGCTATCTCCATACTAAATATTGGTACCCTAGTACAAGCATAACAGAGTGTATTGATCGCCAGCTGTCAATACCAAAACCTAAACATTATATATTATGAAATATCTTTGGATTGTTAATTGTGTATGTTATGTTGTGATATTTTAGCATTATAACCTGTATTGGTGGTTGATATTTGAACTAATTGTCAAGTCCACGAACACTCTCAACAAAACCGGAAGAAATCGGACATAAACCAACATGTCTAAAATGATTCTTTACACAGGGTTTTTTTCTACAGAAAACTATCCCAACAGAAAAGCAGTACCCAAGTATAATTATAAAGTGGTTTACCTGTGCCTTTCAACACTTGCATCAAAGCCTCAACATCATATTTTAAAGACTAACAAGAGACCCAAGGGCCTTAAAGTTCACCTGAGTCTCACTATTTCTTGTAACACGTCATAGAAATGGTTCTGTTAAAAATGTCTTATAACTTATACAAATGTAAATTGTGTATACATTAATTGCTGTCCCATGCTGAGGCTTCTAACCAAGTTTAAATTAAAAGAAATTCCACTCAAGATTTCAATATCCTATGTAAAATCTTCCAACAGTGGAACATCTTTGAAACTTCAGTTAATTTGACCCATTTTTGGCCCTGTTCAACAGTCCCTGGGGGTCAGCCGAGATCAATATGTGAACTAGTTCCAATAAAAATCAACAAATTATGATCAAATATGTGATTTTTGTTTTTGCCCCTGCCCCTCAGGCTCCTGGGGTTTGGGATCCATATAATTTACAATTTTGGTGCACATAACCATGAAAGGTTTTTGTAAAATTTCATTGAAATGGGTTCAAGAGTTTTCCAGAAGAAGTTGAAAATGTTAAAAGTTTATGACAAATGATGCCGAATTAAAGGGGATTGCAATAGGTCACCATGAGACTTTGTCTCGGGTGACCTAAAAATTCAAAAACGTTTCAAACTACACCAAATATTAGTACCCAGTATAAAGGGGTTCACTGATGCCTTTTCACACTTGCATTTAAAACCTCATTGGAAACCATTGCTGACACCAAGATTGGGATAATAGCAAACCAGGTGATCTGAGACCCTCTCTTCCAGAGGCAAGTTAAAAAGAAGAACATTTTTGGTGTAGTTGAAAGAATGTATCATGTTCCGCTAATGATAAGCTGTATATATGGTATTGTCGATTTCTGTCAATTATTGTCCTAAAAAGATCGGTGTGCATGTTTATACACCCACAAGTCTTCCCTGACATATATAGCGAGACAGTGATCAGGATTACATACACAGAGAGTTGGTGGTGTATGTGTAATAGCTTATGTTAAGTATTCTTCACTGATATATAATCTGCAGGTAATTACTGAAGACAATCCAGTAAATACTGCGTTTACACCTGGGCGCACCTATGATGCTTCAAGGCATGTGCTGAACACATCAATGTCGCCAGAGATCTAAAGTTTGATGATCTTAAGACAATGTATATACATGCTAGTACTGTGCTTATAGTTCACACTGAGAGCTGTACTGGACATTTAGTGAAGGAGGTCCACTTGCAAAGGTCAAAATGAGGTCAATTACACAGTCACACATATCATAAAGATCAGCCATCGTAAATACATGGTCATTAACCCAATCACCTACGTTTTACAGTGCTCATTTCTACATATCAAGGTTTTCATAAAAAAAAAAAAAAAAAAAATTGCAGTATCGTCAGAAATGCTACATGATAAATTTGTTCAAACCAATAATATGTCCTGAAAATTTAAATATCTTTATCACACTGACTAATCTTTTTATATTTTTTATGAATTATGTTCACCACTTCATGTAGAAGGAAGTTGATCCAGGAATTATTTAAGAATATGAATACTTGGTGTATAGATTCTTACGTAAACTATCATAAGATACCAAGGACCTATTGAAAATGTAAATGTGGTAATCTTATTTTAGTATTTTTCCTGTTGCAGTCACTGAAAATCTGAACATTTTGTTTATGTGAATGAATCTTCAATCTTTAACTTGGGGAATACTACCCATTGTGGAGGAATGGGAATTCTTGGCTTATTTTGAAAAATGGAAGAATTTCAGATAGCCCTTTTTCAAACTTCACGAGAAATAGCATTGAAATAATCATGATGTTCATGAAGATCACATGAATAAAACTAGGATAATGTTTAAGCTGGATTTCTTTTTCTTGATAGCATGATCTGAAAAAACATTCAGTAAAAATTTATTCTAATTAGCTCTGTTTTGGGGGAAATTTTCTCTGCTCTGGGAATTTTTTCCTTGCTTTCAGTATATTTAATTGAAGGAGAATTTGTTTTATATGCACAGGAGCAAACATACCACTTGGGGAATCCTACCTTTTCTTGGTAGAAAAATCTGTCAAGATTGATCCAAGGTTAATAGAGTAACTATATCAAATTTATCAGCACACAGTTATAAATAAGTCAGGTTTGTGAAAATCTGATCTCCCAAAATCACGTATCTTTACACATATACGTTTCTGAGATGCTGAGACTTATAAATCAGTTTCTGTTATCATAATATCTTAATTGTCAAGCTTTAGTGTAAAAATATCCACAGTAATGTACCACATCACATTTAATCACTAATCTCAGTACCATACTATAAGTACATGCACAATACAATGTATTAAAAGTATTGCTTTTGCAAAAAAAACATCCATACATGCAGTGTAACTTACAGGTCTAAATTTAATACAAATGCTTCATCTCGTGTCATGTTTGTATCGTATTTTTCAAATCATTGATAGACTGAAGGAAATTCACCAATTTCAGCTGAAAATTTAAAGAACTTTTAAACTAAAGGCAGTAATCAGTGTGTAATTATATGGCGTAGCCTAAAAATATTGGGGAACTCAAACTTTGTCAGACATTTAAATCATCACTCATCAATATGAATTTTTGAATTAAGTCAGTTCAGCAAATTGTATCTTTGCTGTTAAGATACTGTACACACAGGAAATATTTGAGAACATTCAGTATAATGCTATGTAACTGTATGTGTACAATGTCCCGCATCCTGCGGAAATTAGTCCTCTGCTACATCAGACCACAAGCGTCGCCATCCGGTACGTGTAAATAAATACCTTTATTTACTTTGGAGGCAGGATCATCTGTACACAGATATATATAAATCTGTATATTTGATGTTTCAAGTGAAGTTATAGTAACAATAGTGTTACAACAGGAAAGCTCATCTTCAAGGCCAGTTGAATATGTATAGAGTTTGTAATCAATTTTTGTTCACCAGCATAGCTTGGGCTAACTGCATTCAAAAACAAAAGACTCCAAATAAATCTGGGTACCCACTATTGTCTGCTTTTTATTTGTTCTTTA